TAGCCAAAACCGTTCTAAAAATAAACTGGTACGTGACAACGCCGTGACACAAGCGCCTGAAAGTTGCTCGCTCCGGGTTATGGGTTCCTGATGAAAAGTAAAGGTGGACCGTGTGCCTTCTAATGATTTTGTATGGGAAAAAATGGGAAACGTAAAATGCCGAAAAAATAAAGAAAGTTAAGTTATTGGGTAAAGTAAACTTATCTCAACTCAAGAGCCCTTTTAAAAGCTTCACTAGCGAGATAAATTAGAAACATCATCGATCGTGCAGATCCAAATGGACCCGGGAAATAAAGATTCTAAAACAGCTGTAGAATTTAGTTGTAAATTAACGAAGAAAAGAGAGATTGGTTTACGTTTGAAGGAACTTGTTAACCCATTCGCTCCTGGAGATTTTGCCGAAAAACGCGTTTTGAAGCTAGTCGAGTGGTTTTCTGGTCACTGTCGTGCTATAAAGAGCTAAAACTTACCACAAACCGGTTGACAGGGCGTACACTTGGCGGCCTTCTGATCCAGATGCAAAATATCAGCTTACGAAGTTCGGGCATGCGCAGAAAGCAAAAATTTTACTTTCCGCTTTCTCTCCTCCCTTCTTTTTTCGCCTTTCTTGCCTCATTTTTTTTTTCTCTTGCTGGGCATTTAGTAGGCTTCATTTTGGTGGGAAGAGTTTTTAGGAAAGCTTTTAGGATCTTAGGATTAGGTGAAAGGAAAGGTAGGTGGGTAATGGAACAAGATTTTCATGGAGATTTTCAGGTCCTTGTCACGTGGTTTTTTGCTTCTTTCTCCGGTGTCCTTGACTGAATTGTGCTCATTCTGGTATGATTTGAAAGATCTCTTCACCCTGCACAAGTTAGCGAAGAAAGTTGTCCTTGACCGTTAAAAGTGATGACGTCACAAAGGGTAGAAAGGACCTGGATCCGCACGGGCGGTTACGGGCGGTTCAGGGGCGAATGGGTTAATCAAAAAACCTAAAAATGGCCTTTTACCAACTTTTTCACCTGATTTTACATGAAATAGACAGATTTGGTTGTTTTATGCTGAAAAGTGGATTTTTTTCAAAAAGCTTGGTACTCTGCTTAAAATTGTCGAAAATATTTTGAAAGGCACTATCAACAATGACATCATTATATATATTTACCTGTCTTACTTTAATAATGACGTAATGTGGATCTTGTGACCGAAGATAAACGCCGGGGAAATGGCGGCATGTTCTTCGTTTGCGGTGGTATTTTTCTCCAGTTTTCTCGTTTTCCTTCCATTTGCAGCTCCTTTAAGTGCATCTCCTGGATTGCTTTCTGATTCCTACAGTCAAATTGCACAAAAGTTTGGACTTTCATTTCCATTTCCCGTAATTCCCAGTTTGTCTCTCAACGTCTCTGTGCAATGCAACTACAGCCTCCACAATCTGTTTAGTAACCCCACACTTCTGGAGTATTGTAAGTATGACTAAAATAAACGCTTGAACGCGTTCAGTCAATTTCAAGGTTGAATTGAAAAACAATTGGCCTTTTTTCTGTTTTATTGCCAAAAGAATGGATTGTTTGCGCGATCTCGCCGCCGGTTATTCATGGTGGCAAGTATAGTTTGTTTAGTATCAAACTTTAATAGCAACTTTGACAACTAGGCGTTAAATCACTTAATCAGTTACCACTCACTCGAGAGATTGTCGGCTGTTTTCTCAAGCTAGCAAAGTTGCAGCGCGCTACACTATCTCGCAGTTAACCTGATCGCAGGTTATCTCGCAGTGCGTAACCTGAGCTGATCTGGCCCAGTTTTTGCCGTGTCATACGGTCACGCAGGGCCCAATACAAACTCTCACGAGGCTGTTACGCTGCGGCCAGATTTGGCTGCAATGCTGATTGACTTATGTGGGAATGCTGTAGGATGTAATTGGTTTATGTATATATTACAATTACTAAAGGAGGATATTACCACCGTCCTGTCATGCATTACATACACACGTACACGTATTTTAAAACGTGACTAACACTTACCTATAAAGCTAGTTTACAGGTCAGTCACAAAACTAAAAACAAGCCTGGAAACTATGTAAAAGTGTTTAAAATGATATATTATACAGAAAAAACTGCTTAAAATTATAAAATTGTTAAACTTATATTCTAAGAAAACTAGGTTAAATTGTGAATAACGATCTATAAACTTACAACTATATAAAAGTGTTTATATAGTACATGGAAACTGCAATAAGATTATAGAAACTATGTAATACTTAAAATACTAAGAAAAACTAAGTTAAATTGCGAAAGGGACTATAAACTTTCAAGGTCGAGCTCCTTGAGTCCACGTTTAAAACTGCGATAACTATCAATATTTCTTAAATTATTTGGAATAGTGTTCCATAGTCGGGCAGCCTGGTATCTCCATGACTTGATCCCATACTTTGTTGAATTTGACAGCATTGACGGCCGAATCCCAGTGTGGCTCATTTCAAAGTGTCACCATGGAGGCAACACAAAGGCACAAGAGAGATACCCGAAACAATTTTTTAGAAATCCAGCATACTCTGCGTAAACTGTATTGATTGTACAATAGAATTTCACGAAGTAGCTACAGATGCCCTTCTCAGGTGTAAGATCTTGTTTTGTATGTAAATAACAGGGATCCATCTCCATTTTTTATCAGAGTTGTCAGCTGGGCAAGTAAGCTTGATGGCATACTTGCCCAGTTACAATTTATTTAGGTTGCCTGGACAAAAGTGCAAAATTATAGAAAGAACGGTGATAAAATTGTGTGCAACTTGAACATTTCTGATTTGCTCTTTATTTCCATTATAGTTACTAATAAAGGACTTCAACTTAACTGTAAAGAAAAACAGGCTTAAGGCCCGAGTCTAAACACCATGTAGACACAGTCGTAGATACAGCAAAATTTGCTGTATCTACGACTGTGTCTAAATGGTGTTTAGACTCGGGCCTAATGTGGCATTTAATCTAAACAGTCAAATTTAATTGATTCAAACATCATGCTTCACATGCATTTAACTCTCGCATTAAGTTCGGCACATGTGAAATTCGACTTGTGAAACGGGCCTTACTGTCTTTTTTCTTGCCGTTTTGAAGGAGGAAAATGTCTTCATGTGAATTTTCAGTTAATGTAGGTTTCTATTATACAGGAGGCCATGCACAAAATGTGTTTTAGTGCTATCCTCCGATAAAATCAAGTGTGATAATCTCCCAATGCAGCATCATTGGCAATTGATTATCATCCTTTAATAGCCCTTTTGGCGGAAATGGAAAGCAGGCCTTATTCTCTTAATTCAGTTCTTCCCTACTTAGAAATTTCGGATAATCATATGTTTCTGGGAAACTGCCCACCTACTCCTCCCCTAAGCCAACACCAACACTTAGCTCTCACTTGGGGCAAAATGTTGGCTTAGCGGAGGGGTAGGTTTCCCAGAGACGTATAATGATCCCAAATTTTCTAACTGTCACCAGAGATTATAGGTGATCAAATTTCCTTTCTTATTTAATTATGAGACCATGAAAAAGACAACACTCAAGTGTTTAACATGTTAATTGTCAACAAAAAATAGAATGATATTATATTATTGTATTTTTTTCGTGCAATCATAGATTGAATTTTTTTCCTCATACATCTTGAAAAGATTTTGATCAATGATTGATTTTAATTGATAATCAACAGAATAATGTTAGATTCATTATTTTTTTTCAGACTTGGATGCTACTGGTAAACCTCCAAGTGGAATTCTAGTTGGAAATCTTGCCTGGTTAGGATCGTATGAAGAGTGCACAAAGTATGTTCCTGGTGCACATTACTGCATGGCCTTCTTTGATACTCCTATTCAACCACTGACCAAGGTGAGAATGCTTTCACCATTAATTTGATTACCATCCATGTTTGTGATGGAACTTGAGAAATACATTGTAACTTGTGAATGGAAAAACCACAGCTTAGTATCAAACAAATATGTTTCCCATTATTTGTGTAGCATTATATCAAGTCATTTCAAATGTTAAAAATTACAAAAATGAAGTTTGAAGAACTGTTAGGCTGACAGGTTTTCAGTGCAATCAGGGTGCAAAGGAAGTCAGTTTTACAGCTTGCCATTCGGGCAAGCTGTAGCTAGCATGTACTAGCCTGAAAAGCATAAAACTAGCCTGAAAAAGATTTGATGAGCATGATTGATTACATTTCTTCTGTAATTTGAATTCCCCCAGAAAAAATCACTTACCCATCAGGCAAGTTAATAACAGAATTCACTAGTCTGATAGCAAAACCCACTGGTCCCAGGTTATCGAACACCATTTTCTTTGCATGCTGGCAATCCATTTCAAACTTCTTTAAGTTTGTCAATCCGTGTCTTTATCTGTAAGGAGACAGCGTGGCCAAGCGGTTAGAGCAATGGATTTGTAATCCAGAGGCTCCGAGTTCAAGTCTTGCCCTAACTGCTAGCTGGATTTGTTCTCGGTAGTCCTGAGCTCAAATCTACAGCCATGCTTGTAAATAGCCCAACCTTACTGGTGTGCCTCCTACCAGTTGGGATTTTTAACCTTGTTTTTCCATTTAGATTTATTTGTTTCATTGTCCCTAAAAAGCCCCATAAGGGGAGTGGATAATTAAGTACTTCGAAGGTTTTACTTCCTAAAAGAAGACTGTATAAATTCATACTTTTAGTGGCAGAAGTGTTTTGCAGAATGCTGAATGCAGAATGCAAAGGGCCAAATGACTCTGAAATTTAGTGATTATGGTTAGGAAACAGAGTGAATCAATTTCCATTTAGAGTCATTATACCGGAAAAGTTCAGTGGCGGTTCCAGGGGGGGGGCCCTTATTTGTAGACCAAACTAAGGGCCGAAGGTCCAAAAAAAGTTTTTGGAGACCAGGCCCCCCTCTCATCTCAGGGTCTGGATGACTGGGCCCTTCCCTTATATGAACGTCTGGATCCGCCACTGAAGTTGACCTTCACTCTGTTTCCTACCCCTAATCACTAAACTTCAGTGTCATTTGCCGTTCTGTATTCTACATTCAGCATTCTGCATTCTGCAAATAAAATACCCGTACTGGAAATGATGGGTGTAGGCAACTTTTAAGTGCTGGTACTCCTTATTTACTAAGAGTAACTTTTCTCTTTTCTATTTTTCCAGGCATTTCCTTTACAGTGGGGAATATGTGCACCCAAACAATGTGATGAGCACGATTTAACTAACTTGGTGGATAAATTTCTTGCCTGTAAGTTAGCCATTGTTTATATTAAAACATTTATTTTTTCATTTATGCTAACTAGGACTGCAGTGATACGTTTCTTCTGCATTATATGATACAGATCATATACATGGTGTACAAAAGCATGGTGTAGTACTTATTTGATTATAATCAATGATCAACTGGGCGCAAAAAAAAGGTGGTGTCTGATATCCGGAAGCTAAAGCGTATTTTGCTATTGGGCTAGTGAATAATGTCCAGCGCTGGCCACAAGATCCCTACTTTCCTTTTTCATCCTTATACAATGTACCGGTAGTTCTCCACGGTGTGGAAGTGTGAAAAGAACCCTATACTTTCCTTGCTCATCCCAAGTTCTACACTTGCACGTGAAGTTTTCGGGGAATTCAAATAATTTTATAGAAGTGTAATCAATCCTGCTGGTCAAGATTTTTTTTTTTCGGGGGGCAGGGGGCAAGTCAAACTGACATTCTGGATAGTACATGCTAACCTCAACTTGCCCCAAAAGCAAGCTGCAAAACTGTCTTTCTTTGCACCCTGAGGGGCCATGTTTTGACCTCTTTATCCATTGGCTGATAAAACAAATAACGAACTCTTGCCAAAACCATTTTTCAAGGTCATACGAAAATTGCTTTATCAGTGGTCCTTTTTTTTTCTAAGTGAGCTTTGTCAGAATTACCCCACCAGACTAAACTGTCTGTAAATGGAACATGTCTGTTCCAGCTGAACTGCACTATACTCAGCTCTTGTAGAAGGACCAGCCTCACTCTCTTGTGTGAATAATTACAAGAAATTTGCTAACGAACAGTGATTTAGGAGAATAGAGATAATTAAAAAGAGTGTAAAAAGCTGAGGTTTCGCATCATCATGATGTCATTGGCAAATTGCCTTCTTGATAGACACCAGCTCATGATTAAACGGAACCTTTTCCCTGCAGCATTTGCCTGAAAATTAGCGATGTACGGCTTGTCTGTGGGGAGAAATCTGTGACTGACCACTTTTCAAATTTGCTTTTCTCTAAATTTGTTATTATAAATGTCAGTTGTTAAATGTTTTTGTGGATTTTACTTATGTTTTACTCGTAGTGAAAATCAATGTCAAGGGTAATAGTAGAATGGAGTATTTTAGGTAAAAATATGTTTCTAGTACCGTGATCAAGTCACATCTTCTCTCTAAAGTCATCATAAGCCAATCATGACTCACGATTTAATAGCGTTGAACTTTCTCAAAACTCAGTTCAGTCAAAAAACAAACAGCAGCACTTCAAACCACGAGTTTTTGCACTCATTACATGATAACTTATGAAAGCTGTTTTACAGGAAAAGTCAACACATATTCATGCGAACGTACAATGAAAGAATATGTTCATGGTTTGTTTACTACAGAAGTAGAAATTAATTGAACATCAGACTGTACGCAGCTGTATTTTGTTGAGTCGATCCGTAAGAATTTCGTTGTTACAGACGGAACTGACAGCTATTGTAATAGAGGACTTCATTCACTTTTTACAAGCCGCAGTGGTTTAATATCTGTTTTCTGGACTTTATTATGATCAAGAAATGCTGCGGTAATGACGTGGCTGCATTTGCGAAGTTGTCGCATGTAACTTTATATGCATGTACAGCGACCGATGGAAGTATGTCAGTGGTGGAGAAAGGTTTCTTTGCCGTAGCCACATATTGGCGTTAATATTTGTTGATTCGTGAAGTGAGGTGGTTTGAGGTAGGTTATGGCATTGATATCACTGAATAATTCGTGCAAATGTTGGAAAAAACCAGCCCGAAACTCTGACATCTTTCATCAACGTTGGCAGCTTGTTTACAACCTACAGCGGCCGATTTTGTACCCATATCTTGATCAGAGATCTCTTTTTGGAACAAGTATAGGCACAGTACTGGATAAGGAATTTAAGTTTGAGATAAAATAAATCAAGAATGCTAAAACTATCCGTTTTGTTGCTGGTTGGCTTATGGTTAAGTTTTCCTAGAGACTTTCTACACCAGAAATTCACACAGTTGTTGTCTTTCTCTGCGATTTGGCATCGTCGTGAAATGTAAACTGTTTTCCAACTTTGTACTTTATAACTTCTAAAGCTATATGGCAGTAGCGAATTGTGACGCTCAGTAATAAAATGTGGAAACCAACGCTTTTAATATTAAGAAGGGCTGGGTAAGTAACTTGTTCTGTTTTTTAGCCTTTCTAAAATCGTTATTTCCAGAACAATAGCCGGTTTTGTTTATGGTTCGTGGTCCGGATGCCTTTTTCTATGGGTTTACCGGTATAATAAACCATAGGTTTTTGACCAATCAGATCATGCGTACTATCTCAGTTATTTTATAATTAGTGATAGCACTCAAAAGTATAACAATATAACATAGTTGACAGCGTGATCAGAGTACGAAAATTATATGCTCTCTCTTTTCCTTTTTAGTTCTTAAATTAGTTAACATAACGATTGAATTGAGTCCACGAGTTGCTGAAGCAGGAAGCAAAGAGGCTAAACCTATTTACTGCAAGAAAGAACCAGAATACACAACTGGGGTAATAATTACTCTGTAAGTACATAGCTATATGAATCTTTGAAATAAAAATTGCGCAGAATTTATAGTATTATGTTACAAAGTGAAAGAAAGCTGGGTTATTTACTTGGAACAAATGCCACTAAATCGTAGTCAACAGTTACCAGCACCGTACAAATGACTTATGGACAGATCAGAATCAAGCAAAACTAACTACGAAAGAATGACTGGACGACCCAGGGGGGGCACTTGGGTATTTCTTGGGTGGTATGTGCCACCCGGGAGTCCAAATTGGCACTCCGTTCTAAAAAAAATTTCCCCTAAAATTGATACCCTGTTCTAGAATTCGCCCTAAAACTGATACCCCGTTCTAGAAATGGGCCAATTTTTATACTCCGTTCTAAGGTGCAAAAAAGTACAACAGTTTGCTTGTTAACGAATTGAACTGTATTTTTTAAAAGCAATCTGTCCTTGAATAATTTCAAATGGCTGCTTACAAAACTGGAGCTTTAAATGCGTTCGAAATATTATACCCCTCTGAAATGGATACCCTGTTCTAAATCAGGAGCTTCAAAATCACGACCCTGTTGGGCGGCACATACCCGTATAGGTAATGTATGGGAGTACCCCACCCCCGGGCTGGACGACTGACAATATTTATTTGGCTAACAATAAACAATTGTTTGACTGCGACAAGACATGGATCAAAACGCACCAATGACATTACAAGTCCCGATAACCAATAACATCATGGCTTAACTGACTAATTGACTAACTGACTGACTAATTGACATTTTAATTGAGCAGTCAGGTCAAATAACCAGAATTTAATACCATCAGCTAATGTGATACAACTCACTTTGACTCTGAAGATGACTACCGCACAGGTTGTCAAAATGTCAGTCACTGTCAACAACAAAAGTCCTATTCAGGACTCAACCACCCAGACAATCATACTCAACCTACTTATGATGGTATTATTTATACAGAACTGGCTCATGTTCTTAAACTTCAACTTGTTTAATCAGAACATAGTGAATTCACATGTGGCCATGACAGTAAACTGTGACAAAAAGCAAGCCCAAGCTGTGCAAATACTAAAATTTGATTGGACATTAACACAGTGCAATATCATCACATTATACATAAGAATAATAATTATTATTTATGTGCAATTTAGGCCCAAAGCTAACCTAGCTCAAGTATTCTGTCATAAATTTGCAATATTGTTCTGCTATGTGATCAAAGTAATGCAAATTGTTGCTGCAAATATCAATATGTTTTTGTTTTTACAATTTGTATCATGTATTGGTGTGCCGATGATCAATTATAATCAACCATCAATGGAAAACTTTAAGCTGCACGATAATAAATTTGTAGAAAATGTTCAATAGATTATTGTGGGGAAAAAAAATGTCACGTTGGCAAATATGGGTATTAAATACTTGTTTGTTGTCTTTTTATCATCTATTATTATTATTCAAGGAGAAAGAGAATTTAATCACCTCAAAGCACCAAAAAATTTTGAGGTCCAGCTGAGAATCAGACTCACAGCCCTGTGAGTCCTAGATCAGATGCGCCAACCACTGAGTTACTGAAACTCTGTGATATTTGAGCATAAAATAAAAGTTGATGTTGGCAAGCACTAACTTGTGAGCCTGCAGATCACTGCGGTTTACCCCACATGGTCTTTCCTTATCTAGCACTGGGGTGTGCCTATGCTAAATTCCCTCTCAGTCAGCTCTTTCTTCTATCACTGCAAGTTCAAGCAGCAAAGTTGACCCTTCAACCTCCTGTTATTATAGGCTTCCTGTAGTTGCTTGTCTTTTATTTTACTTTCTGCTTATTATTTGTTTTTTGTTTTTCTTTGTGTTCAATGAATAAATTTACGGTGGAAATTGCTGCCTGCGGCACCCCATCAGCCTTGTGCTGAAGCCCCATCATGGAACTTGGCCAAGGACATTATCCCAGCCACACGGATGTGTGAACCATGCTTCCCTTGCAGTACAGGCATGAGGCACCCTCTCGGCATGGCACCATATGCTGAGACCCCTCATCTGGTGGGTTATCTGGTCGGTGGGTTCTAACCGAGCCTTGCTGGCTTTTCCCTGCCCAATTTCGTCTACCAAAGCCTTGTGTGTTGTGTTATTTCTTAGTCTTGTCGCTGCACCTTAACATTAATGCCCCTTATGTGAAACATATTGAATGTTTGAGATGATTACAGTGCTGTATGTGGCCATAAATCATTGCATCTTTGAAATGGTCTTGAAAGGTTTGGTGTCAAAGTGTGGGTTTGGTAATGAAATGTTTTGTTGAATAATTTGTTGTCTTTTCTTGTTGTATTTAGAACCTTGTGTGGAATAATCTTGTCTCTCTGCCTTGTTGGAACAGTCCTTGATGTACTCATTAGCTTTTTTAAACCACGCCCATCAACAGTGAACAAAAGTGATGGATTCATGCCAATCAGAAATGTTTCCATAGCTACTGATAATGATCAGGCTCCTCCTCATGTTCCAGTCTTTGGAAAACATGATGGTATAAGTGACAACTCACAAATGATTCATTCCATCCCTGAGGGGACAGTTAGTTACAGTTCTTCATTAACCAGCTTTCCTGAACAGCCAAAGGAACCAAGTAAGTTTTGAATGTTATCAGATAACTTTTTTAAACTGATTCTTGCCGGCTTCAGTTGGTACTCTTATTTATTTTACAACCTGTTAAGCCAAAGACGGTTAAACATAGCACCATGAAGCCATAATTGGCTTTTACTTGGCGGGTATTGGGGGTGGGGTTGTTGGCTAAATGGCTAATTCAAGGGAGTGACTGGGAGAAAAGCTTTGTACAATGATTAGGGCAGCTTTCTGTCTTGCCCTTTTCACCTATCTCTGCTACAGTAAGGTCACATACTGTGGGATCAATTTCCTGTGTATCTTTTGAACCAGATTTCAGGCTTGCCTGCAGCAGATGTCAATTTTCCTTATTAGGTTATCTAAGAAAGTGAACATTATCGTCACAGTAGAATGAACAACCAAAGTGTGAAAAAAAAAAAATAACCTGAAAAAAAATTCAGGCTTGACTGGGAATCAAACCCTGACCTTTCCATTGGCTGGACACAATGTTCTATCCATTGAGCTAATCAAGCTAGCTGGAGAGCAAACCGTTGTGACAGGGTTGCCACAGTCAGGGAAAAGTCAGGAAAACGAAAATTTTTCAAGGTAAGGGAAAAGTCAGGAAAGTCTTTGATATTATCAAACTCAGTGAAAAGTCAGGGAATTCTGTTTTCTGGTTTATAGTTCATAAGTGGTCTTCAAGATTTTGAAATGCATTTTCTTTTGGAAAAGAAGAAAAGTATGTTGCAAAGCAAGCAAAGCGATCAATTTGGCACTCTACATCTGACACATGTAGTAGTTGTGGTCAGTGGTTTTCGTTGTAAATGCTTTATTCCAAATTCCTTCTTCCTCTTTCCATGAAAACTGGAAATAGGATGAAATCAAGAGAAACTATCGATGGCCTGCAAAAAAAGCTAAAGTGAATGTAAATGTCGATTGTTTCCCATTAATAAAAGGTCAGTGAAAACTGTTTAAAGGTCAGTGAAAAGTAAGGGAATTTTTAACTTTCTGATGAGTGGCAACCCTGTTGTGAGTTCGTAATATACCTGATGGTGGAATTGACATAAATTGATGAAATAAATCATATTTTGAACTGCAGAAAGACATCATGTTCACTTTCATATCTGCACTGAATATTTTTGTTGATTGTGAAAGGCAATTTATTTGTTTAATTGTTTTTTTATACACAGATGTGGTGGCAAAATTCCTTTTGTGTTTTTCTCTTATCCAAAACACAAACCGTATTTTGAGTACTAACATTCCTCCAGGCGCGATAACATCAATCAATGGCATGAGAGTATTGAGTATGTGGTGGGTTATACTTGGACACTGTTATGCTTTTCAGACCACCGCTGGTCTTCCAAGTAAGTTATTTCAGATTTTTATCACTGATAAACTCCCAAAAATTTACTTTAGAAGAAGAAAATAATTATAGTAGGCAGCAACTGTTTCAGTATTTTAAAGGCGAAAAGGACCTTTTGTGCAACCCTGGGTCTGAGGAGTGTCAGTGTAGGTATGAGAGGGGGGTTGTTTTCCTCTCATTGGGTGGTCAGGCCACTACTTTTCCAGCTTTAGGATGGTGTAGTTCTCTCCTCAGTTCCTTAGACATTGCATCTTTGGTTGCTCACCAGAGACATTCTGAGCCCATTACTTTAATGGAGTTTTGCCAGTGATTCACACAACTGTGTTCTAAGTCATTTTCACACTGTTCACCGTGAACAGTCTCATGGAAGTATATATGGTAGACTAGAGAAACGTTAAGCAAATAACCCACTAAGTAAGGGACCCTTAAAGTCCAATGATGTCTGGAACCACAACCTAAGTTAGTCCTCCTTTGACCCATTTGCCCCTGGAATTTTTGCCCAAAAACGCTTTTTGAAGCTAGTCAAGCAGTTTTCTGGTCACTGTTGTGCTAGAAAGAGCTAAAACTTACCATAAAGCCATTTATAGGTCGTACACTTAGCGGCCTTCTGATCCAGATGCAAAATATATTTAATCCGTTTACTGCCAAACGCTTACCCCTTAACTGTGAGCATGACTGGTTGGGGATACCAGGAACAGAAACTAGAAACGACTTGCATTTAGTGTGTCTCTTCTTGAGTGATGTGTCTTTGTATGTTTTGTAGGTAACCTTTTGACATTTTTGGCATAATTAATCGCTTTACATTTCAAGCTATCCAAAATGCAACCTTTTCAGTTGACAGTTTCTTTTTCTTGAGGTACGTTATAATATTATTGCATAAACCTTTAAACATTCTAAATTATAATAAATGATGATAAATACTTGATTATCCCCTCACCTTATGAGGCTTTTCAGGGATAATGATACAGATGATTTGAATGGAAAATAACATTGACGGCAATTAAAAACATAGACTGTAAGAGGCAAACTAGTTGGCTTTTTACAAGCCTGACCGAGGATTTGAACTACTGAGAACAGATCCAGCTAGCTATAGTGGTCATTGCAGGACCTCTGGATTACAAGTCCAGTGCTGTAACCTGTGGGCCACACAGCCTCCACAAAAACATACCACTGGGGAGATTTGGATGTTCCTTTACATGGTTAAGGTCTCCAAAAGCTGTTTCTGTTTGTATGATGGCAATAAAACAGATTTGTTTAATTCTAAACATTAATTTTTACATTAATACATATAAGAGTTCTTTGTAGAAAAACTGGGAAGTTAAAGCATTTATCAAACATGATCAGACAGCATAGGTTGAGTTGGAATTTGGAAGTGTTTTGAAAAGAGGGGAAACACCTGTCAAAGCAAAGGGCGAACCATCAATAAACTCATAAACTCAAACCACTTATGGAGTCGAGGCCAGGATTCGAACCAGTCCACATTGGTGGGAGGTAAATGTTGTCACCACTGTAACACCCTTGCTTCTATAAGTCCCCCAGTGATAGCTTTCACGAAACAGTACAGTCCCATAAGCAATTTGACACAACAATGACCCTGTCACATGTTCAACCTCTAAATTGCCCATAGAGGGTCGAGAAAAATGTCTAATAAGGAGTGGATCATTACGGTTCTGGGAAACTGCCCATCTACCCCTCCCCTAAGCCATCATTTTGCCCTAAGTGAGAAGTAAGTGTTAATGTTGGCTTAAGGGAGGGGTAGGTGGGCAGATTCCCAGAAATCAATAATGATTTAGAACGCATCATTAGGGGCCAGGGTGCATTTGGTTGATTATAGTCCGGAATAAGAAGACACAGAAATTTGTGGCAAATCTCTTCAACTGCAAATGTTTCAACCATTAGACTGGGACATTTATCTTATTACAGTGGAACCCGCTATAACAAAGTGCCACAGTACCGAAAAAATTGTTCATTATGGCGGGGTCTTCATTATAACGAAGAAAGAAAGACCCGGTTATTAAACGAATTATCTGGCTAACAGCAAAAATATTCATTACAGGGGGGTAATTTAATTATTAGCAATTACCAAAAATTCAATCCTGCACTTAGAAAACATTATTTTTATTCATTTGATACTGTAAAATGTAAGTGTAAAGTGCTGACAATCAAGACATCAAATTCAAAAACACTTTCAATATTAAAAGCAAGTTAATTGTGATTTCTACTCAAATCTGTCATTTTACTGACTGCTGCGAGCGACTGGACAAAGTATATGTTACAGCAGGGTAAATTGTGTGTTGCGACCATCAAAATCTATTCATTATAGCAGGGTTTTACTCTAATTCTGCTGGACTTTCAGATTTTTCATTACAACGGGGTCTTCTTTATAGCGGATTCCACTGTATTAATGTCTACCAAATATCTAAATTTTAGCGTGCAGTGAAAAGCAAAACACGTACTTCCTCTTCTGGAATACAGTCAATTGAAAGCATCCAAAGTTTCTTTTCTGGGGAGGCATCTGTTAAGGTGGCTCCCTAGAGTAAATTGGCCGTGCACAGCCTGAGCACTAGTATGGCGCGAGCTTTAAAATCCGTGCAAGGTCCACGCAAAAATTAAAACAAACATGACCTCTCAGTTTCAAAATATTCCCCCAAAAAGCTTTATTTACTTTCTGTTGAAGCTCATTACGCAAAACATTTGATTAGTGTAGGTCAAACATTTATGAGAGGAGACAATGTTACACCGGTTACAAATCACTATCGATCTCCATAAGAGTAAATTGTATGTAAAAACAAAGCAGAAATTTTCCAAAGACATCAATTCTTTCCTTCAAAAGTAGACAAACGTTTAACAGTCAAAGTAAATGGTGAGTGGAAACTTTACTAAGAAAACAAAGAAATAAGTACACAGGGTGCAAAGAAAGTCAGTTTTAGAGTCTATCGTTTGGGCAAGCTGTAGCTAGCATGTACTAGCCCACAAGTCATTTCAACTAGCCCCAAAGCCCCTTTTGATTAGCAGGATTGATTACAATCCCTCTGTAATTTAATTTCCCCCAAAAAACACTTGCCCGTCGGGCAAGTTAAGAACTTAACTCTCTACGAATGTAAATAGATAAAACTACAACAATCAAGTCTGGGGTAAACAGGGAAGGGCTCCGAAGTGAACCCTTCCATTTAATAACATTTGCCCAACTGAGACGGTAAAGATACAGCAAATGTACAAAACAGGAATACATGGAAAAACGTGACAACAACAACAACAAAAAGAAAACTAAAAAAAGGGGGGGAAGGGAGGGCAGCGAAGTAACGATCTGTTAAAGCACATGGCGAAAGAACTGCGTAGAGCGCATGACAAGGAAATAAACTAGTGCCAGTCCTCCCCCCCCTTCGGCTAGAGTTAAATACAAATAAATGCAATTATTTTAGACTTAACTCTCTACGAATGTAAATAGATAAAACTACAACAATCAAGTCTGGGGTAAACAGGGAAGGGCTCCGAAGTGAACCCTTCCATTTAATAACATTTGCCCAAGGGAGGCACGACCTAACCCCAGACAAAAGTCTCCATGAGGGAAAAAAAGAAATTCTAAACAAACGAAGCGAGACGCTTAACTGCTAGCATTCTGTCTTGAACTGGGATGTGGATATAAGACCTATAAGCATCTGACTGCCAGTCTCCTAAATGCTTAATCAGTTCTGCAGGGATTTGAGCTTGAAAAGCCAGAGTGGCCCCCTTGAGCGAAAACTATGTCCACTAACTTGAGACGGGTCCAAGTTCGTCTTGGCTGCTACTAGTTTTAGAAGGCAGTCAAACTTTCCATAAGTCAGAGAGTCAGGCCCCCCTCCGTGGATGCTGGGATGATAAAGGCTGGGCCCGATAGAGGTGCTGGTACCAAGCCAAAGGCATGTCTGAGAGCGGAATAAGGGCAGAGTGGATGTGGAGCAATGCGAGGTAACGGAACAGTTAAAATGCGCTGACTAAATTGGATGGTCTTCGACCATCGATTGATAATGATGGCCCAGTCATTGAAGAAGAGGATATCTCCTCGACGCAGGTGTTTGGATGGGTCAAACTTTGTTGATCCTTTGCATAGCAAATTCGCCTTACGAAGGAGGCCAAAAAGAACGCTACGAGGCAAACTGCCCAGAAGGTTGCATGTAAAGGGCTGTCCAAATGCAAATGACTCTTGAAGGCTAATAGGATCTGGGGTGTAATCGGCTTCTTTTGGGACACTGTTAAACCTTTTACACGCTTGATTCCTCGAAGTGTAGATGCCAATTGAAAATTGTTTTTGGTTGGGTCAGACAGACCATGTTCAAGGTGTAGAATGCGAATCGCATTTAAATAGGCTGGGATGGAGGATGCTGAGAGTGACCTTGCTAGAAAAGCTGCATAGCGATTAAGGGTTAATGCTGCTGCTGGGAGAGGTTGGTAGCCATAGTATACACAAAAGGAGAGGTATGAACGCATTTGACTCATGTAGGTGGACTTGGTAGTAGGTGCATATGATTGACGCCGGAAATTGGTGACTTCACGGTCAAGTTGCTGCTGATCTCTTGGATCTAAGGAGAGCAAGAGACAATGGCGACATGTGAGATTCGAAGTCATTTGATCTAGAGGATTTGGAGAGCCATGCTTGGAACGTTGGCCAGTAGTGCACATCATTAAGGCGTGAAATACTATCTGCTAGAGTGTTGGTTGCTCCTGGAATGTGCTTGACGAACAAACTGAAGTTGTAATACTCCTTAAGCCAAAACAGAGAACGAATCCAGTCCATGATCACCGGGCAACAGGTTGAGCCTTTGTTCAGAATGGCTGCAGCCACCTGACTGTCTGTTTTGACGACTACTCGATGACCTGACCAGAAAGGTGCCCAACGGTGTGCAGCTAAAACAATGGTAAATGTCTCCTTGTAATTGATATGGAGAGAGCATAGAGATGGGTAGTCAAGGCCCAGTTGACGTACATCCAGTCTGGTGCCCATAGGCACCCCCGCCAGACAGGGAGGCGTCGGTAAGCACTGCTGTAGGAAGTTCAGGGATGGCTGGGGAACAAAGTTTTACAGTTGTGTGCAGGCAGGAGGCGGGTCCACCACATGAGGTCAGCTCTCGCGTTTAGGTTAAGATAGACGCGATGGTGCGGGCGTTTAGCCGAGTTTGCCAAGGTGATAAGCCGTCTGAGAAATGTGCGGCCCCCTCGAACAACACGTGCTGCCCAATTAAGCTTGCCAAGGAGTCGTTGGAGGTGAAGCTTGGTACATTTGCTTTTATAGCTTGTTTCCTTGAGAAGGGATAACAACTCTGACACACGATCGTCTGAGAGGCGGAGTTCACACCGAACAGTGTCGATAAATAGGGTAGACAACTTTGCTCCAGTTGATAGTGAAGCCAAGAGACTCTAGCAAGTTTAACAGGGTGTCAAAAGCTACTTTGCACTGAAGTGGGGTTGGTTCGATGATAAGGAAGTCATCAAGATATGCCAGCACAGTATACCCTCTCCGGGCCATCATACGACAGATCCCTTGTGTGAGGTGGTGAAAAACCATTGGTGAGGCCCTGGCTCCAAATGGGAGACGCTTATCATAGAGGTAGGTGGGGTGTTTTGAGTCGTTGAAGCGCCACGACATTCCTGTAACTCGCCAGCTATCGGGGTGTGTTCCAACGCTTCTGTAGGCATGTTTTAAGTCAACTTTTGCCAACCAACAACCAGGTTGACAGAGATTTGCTGCATCATCAACGGTAACATACTTGTAGTGTTCTAAATCCATATATGAGTTAGCATTCATCGTTAAGGGTCGGCTACAATCCATGATCATTCGTAATTCATCGGAGTCCTTCTTTGGTACGGCTCCAAGGGCATTAATGATAATTGGCATGTTGGTCTTGTCTGCGATAGCAAAGTGGTCTTCTCGGAGACCTTTGATTAATTGCGCTTCAATTTGATCTTTAGCTCCAGGTCGCAGAGCAGACTTATTGTTTTGTGTAAAAGCATGTGAAACCATTAAATCAGGCGAGAGGAGCTGAAACCATTTTTAACACCATCCAAGATAAATTCCAAGTCCGGGTCATTGGTAAGCTCTGTTGCCCAGGTCTCAAAAACTAAGTCTGTGGAGACCTGGGCTGCTTGGGGCTGCTGCTTAAATTCTGAAAAGGGCCCTGCATGAATGGGTAAACTTTCCCCACACTCTGCGGGAAGTGGTGTCCTTAAGACGGGATTAGTCCCTGCGTTTAACAATGTGGTCGAGACATCTCCTGCTAGTTCTGTAGTCAAAATACTATTTGGAGGGAGCTCTGCAGTTGAGTGTGGGTTCAGTATTGGGGTCTTGAGCAGTAGCAGACTGGTGCTGCCATTGTGGGTGGGTTCCCAAGCACTGAGGTTTGATGCAAACATGATCATATTTACATGAAGAGGCAAAGCGGCACCCTTCACGCCGTTGGTAATCATAGCAAACTTGCTTTCCCGTTGCTGGGTTTAGGACTGGGCGGGACGTTTTGCGAGGAGATAGCCGCGGCGGTGTGGGAGTTGGATCTGGTCTGTGGAGTGTTTGGTGGGAGATGAACTGGCTGTCAGTACCCCATTTACAGTTTGTCGAAAACTGCATTCTGCGGTACAAATCATCATATTGCATCACTTTCGGTAAGGGGTAACACTTGGCTAGCTCAGATATCTTTGAACTGTACATAATGTAATGAAGGATGTCTTGGGTGGACGATAGAGACCCATCTGACATGAGAGTATGCATAATACGAAAGTTAGCCGCTGACCATTGGGGGAATGAGATTTTGTCAAGATGCAGTTTCTTGTCTTGAGCGGTCGTGGCCATCTTGGGCGCACTTGGTTGCTTGGACTCTCGCTGTAGCTTCAACAACTCGAGTTTGGTGCGTGTAAGATCCAGTTCAAGCTGTAAATTGCGGTTTCGAAGATCTTCGATCGCTGTTTCGTTTACAGTGGGTTGTTCTGCTTTAAAACTGGTTGGAGTAAGGTCTTTTATCAAAGACTCAACCTGACTCAGTTCGCGTTTGACTGCTTCGCTCATCTGTTGAGGTGTTGCCGATTCTGCCGCCAGGTCATCCGTGACGAAATCTTGTAGTTTTTTCGGAGGTTTTGTGCTCCTGCTGCTCTTTCTAGTCGCCATAGTGTAAACATCGACAACAATGCACCATAAGAAAACGATTCAGGAAGAATAAACGTGAGTTCAGCGAAGTAACCATCTGTTAAAGCACATGGCGAAAGAACTGCGTAGAGCGCATGACAAAGAAATAAACTAGTGCCAGTCCTCCCCCCCCTTCGGCTAGAGTTAAATACAAATAAATGCAATTATTTTAGACAAAAATCACTAGCCCAATGGCAAAATCCACTAGCCCCAGGCTATCGGACACTACTTTCTTTGCATGCTGGTACACTACTAACCCAAAAGGAAGCAATGTTGCTGTTTCTGGCCTTTGGTTCATGTTCAGTGGAAAGATCTGAAAGATCGAGCCAATTCCCGAACAAACACTGAAGATTGTCTTCACTGGCGGAGCTCCTCGGTCACTTTATTTCTCTTACATTTGATTTGATTTAAGTAATTCTAGAAGTGGCTTTAAGACAAGATTACAGGGAGTGTAATTTTTTTTGTTTTGCTGACTCTATCACATTGTTTAAAAAACTTATCAGAAAAAAGGTTTCCCACTTAACTTGCATCCTAATCGAAAGAACCTTTCCATCGACGAACCAACATCCTTGTATTTTTTCTTGTTTCAAACATCCTTCAACACACATGCAAGATGCACTAGAACATGTTTTTGCACAACGAGAAATAATTTTTACTCACAGATTGACCCTTGACGAAAGCAATAGTTGTCTGTTGAGACCTATGGTCTTGTACATGTAGCTGAGGACATGATGTACGCTTATAGATCGGAGCCATCTTTTACAGCAGACTTTTAAAGAAAAACTTTGCCATCGAAATTATCCCTCAAGAAGGACAAGGTTGAAAAAGTATCCGGAAGTGGGCTGACATTAAATTTTGAAGATCTGCAAACAGTGTACAGCAGATTAGGAAATGAAGGGCTTATTGTGATCCTTGCACAACCACCGTCTGCATCTCCGACAATTGCCATGCTCACGAGTGACCACCATGGTTCGAATTTTAGCTACGATAGTCAATTACTTTGAAGAAAACATTCCGTGTTAGATATAACATTGAATCCGCTATCTCTCCTTTTTCAACTGGTGAGATATAGACGTAATAATACTAATAAACAGCTTCAAAACAATGGCTTTCGTACTTTTCAAAGAAACCACATGTTTCCAGTAGCTTTGTGCATTATGCGCCTGTGGGCGTGATGGTTCGCGTACATATTTTGCTCATACGACCCCAAACCATGCGTGTTTTTGAGATTTTTGTGATGTCAACGTAGTTAATTAACCATGAATTTCTCGTGTTTCCTTCGGTAAATTTTTTTAAAAATCGCCTCATTTCTTGTCAGTTGCAGTACCTTTGTACTGTTCTTTTCTTCTTAAAATGTGTAAGAGCTAAATTCCTCCATTAAGAAAAATTACAAATTTCAAAATATTGGCAAAACCATCCGAACGACCCCATGATTTTTCCACTTTAAAATGTTAAGCAATATTGTTAATATAAAGTGGCAAAGTTTAAAGACATTTCACCGTGGGAAATAAGGAATATTAAGAAAAAATGATCAAAAATGACAAAATTACTGCCTCTAAGGATGCGATGTTGCCATGGCAATGGCCTTAATCCAGAAAATGAAACTTGATAAAGAAGCCTTCTTATATGGGTAACCTTAGCGGTGGATCTCGTGAACAAAATCGCAAAGACAAAGTAACTAGATTTCGTTCTGTAACGTATGCTAGATAGCTAGGATTATTAGTAAATACTCTAGGGAGCCACCCTAAGACTTACCATGATCCTACTTCTATTGTACTCAACAGTGGCTTCTTAGTTGCATTTTTGTCTCTTCGGCACATGGAGAAAAATAATGGGCAGCTTCCACTCTTCAATTACTATTTTCATCGATTTTGGAGGTGAGTGAACAGTAGACATACTCTCCTTTTTTGTTCAGGTAAAATTTGCGCATCCAGCAACATGTGTACATTCAAAAGTAATGTTGGTGTGCTTTGCTCAAAAAATTGGAGAATTCTTGAGAAATTGCCCCTGTCAGTGGTGGTGGAGCGAAATAAAAAGTGGGGGCGCTGAAAATAAAATTGGACCTTCCATTTTTTTCACCCCCTCCTCCCCCAAAATAAGCAATAAAAGGCGGCCTCTGTCTTTTTTTTTAAGACGCCAACAACATTTTGGAGCCCTTGGATGCAATTGTCAATGGTGCCCACAATAAAAACTATATAGGAGAGCCTTCCTTGGGGGGGTGGGGGGGGGGGTGCAGATAAACAAAAAGAAATGTCCCAATCCAACTGGCTACGTATGTTGTTTCTTGTTTTGAACAGACGAGTTGACTTTTACTTGAACTTTCCAAAATAGTTTTTTAAGTCCTTATGAGTTATTTATTATTCTGACTTTGGGTTGCTGGTGTCTGCAAGGTTAGTGGAGCAGCGCAATGCTCAAGCATGAGGGTAGGAACCCTGGGAGCAGCCCCCACAAGGCACCATCACACTCAACCACTTGGTAGAATACTTAACCACTAATACTTACCTATAACCACCAATACTTACCTATAACCCATTATTTAAAGAAGGTGGGGTTGGGAGAAACACAACACTAAAACTGCATGCAAGTAACAATGCTATAAGCAACTGTGTAAAACAAGACACCATATAATTGTAGTGGGGAAAACTGCTAATCAGCTTTGGTTCGAGGTTAAATTACTTTTAGTCATTAAAACATGAAGTTAGTGATGCTAGTTATAACAATATTAAAATTTAGTTAATATTTTGAATAGAGTCATGTCTTAAGTATGGGGGATATGATTGTCCACCGGGGTGAGTGTAGCCTGCCCTACCAAAACAGGGTTTCTTGGTTGCAGTCCCTGCTGTGCTTTTCACATCATTTACCAGATGTTGCAAAAGTCTTCCAAATTTTGTCTGAACAAGCTCAGGTTATGAAGAATCAGCCATGTGATTTTAGCCAATCAGAAACAGGGAAATATTTTGAATGAATTGATAATGATGATGATGATCTTAACAAATATAAATAAGTACGAGTGAGTAGTAGCTCTTGGTCAATGTTCCTAACAATTATTACTTGTATTACTGATACTCCACAGATTGACTCCAACATACATGTTTGTTTTGCTGTTTTGGGACAAACTGACAGTATTTCTTGGTGAAGGCCCTTATTGGCTCAATTATCAGTCAGATGAAGCTTGTGACAAATACTGGTGGTCCAATCTGCTCTACATCAACAACTTTTATCCTACACAATTTGGTGCTTCGGTGAGTTTTTGACATTATTGTTTTATTGTTTTTTTGGACAAATATTTTTTTGTTAGGTCAGTATTTCACAACAGAAAACTTGTGTATTTCGTTTATTACCAGCAGCATAAAATGTAAATATGAAATTAACTGTCATGTTAACATCATAGATGAGAGGATAACATTGCATGTCCTCTTTACATACTTTTATATTAACAGTTAGCTTGGACGTCAGGATACAGTGGTTCAACTGTCTGTAGCTAGTGGTGGAGTTATAATGGCAGAAGAGGTTGACCACACCACCCGAAGCAACTTCCCCTATTCTTTTTAAACTGTAGTGTAGGTGGTCCATACCTCTTGTCTCTTGTACCTTGCATTCTCAGCTACCCCCGTCTTCTCTTGACATCCACCCTTTAGCCTTTAGTTTCCCCTATCTCTCCTGCTTCACTGTAGAACTCCCATCTTCTGCCCTTTCCTCTCCTGTGCCCCATACCCCTCCTGTCCCTATTCCCCCAGTCCCCCACCCCCCCCCGCCCCCCTTGTCCCACTAGTGTGGGTTCTGTATCAATTCCTTAAAATTAGCTAATAAAAGAACGATGCAGGAGAAAATGCCAATCGCTTTATGTCCAATGACGTGATTATCTGAACTAGACAATGTCTTTATCAACCACTTTTTTAAAGACCCTTGTTTATGGTGAAGCTGGGTTTTGAATCTAGCCTCCTGCTCAAAAGTCTGGCGCTTATCCAATTCAGCTAAACTGGGTGGCAGTATCATTTGCAACCTAATATCAATGTGCTTTTCTCCACACTAGCTTTTGTGTATTCCTTGCTTTGCGGATGAGGTGGTTGTTTTTAATAGTCAAACCCCCTATGGTTACTAATATTATTAAGAACATTTTGTTTATTATCTCCACCTTTGTGTCTCATAAAGCAATTTGGTTATAAGCAAGAATTCTTTTTTTTCTGTGGCATTTCAAATGATTTTGATTTCTCTTTTCAGTGTATGGTATGGGCTTGGTACCTCGCTAATGACATGCAGTTCTACATAATTGCTCCCGCCATCCTTTTTATGGCATACAGGTAACGTGTGTGACCGGCTACATATAAATCATAGTTCACATTTCTATAGTTAGTGCAGTTAAGCCTCCATTAAACAGCTACCTATTAACTGGCCACCCTCTATTAAGCGAAGTCCGAAAATAATTGTACAATAGAATTGTAAGTTAAATCTCTATGAAGTGATTTTGGCCGTTCCAATGAGAGTTTTCCTGTCATTTTGTCCTCTGTTAAGTGGCCAGGTGATAACTGATTGTGAACCTGTAATAACATTAGCCTGCGTAGCAGGCGCTTGGAAGTAGCGGGGCACAAGAGAAAATGGGGGCGCGCGAGGGAGACACGTATCTCCTTCTCACGCGCCTGCTACACAGGCTATAATAACATTTCAGTTACAGACATTGCCACCTTAGTCTATGTACTGTAGCGTCGCTGTTGCAAAGTATGAATCTGGGGGTTAGTTATCCTGAGGGTGGCTGCTTAATGGAGGTTTAACTGTACCCAATTTAATACTTGAAATAAGAAATCTACCGTAAATGTAAATCCAGTTCGTTATCTTGTATTACGATAAATTACATGGATTCTTTATACTAGTGACAATTTCCTGTTTCCTTTTTTTTTTAGCCTTTGAATAGGCTGTCCATTTGGGGGAAGCTTGGGGGAAGGAGGCTAAAAATGGTGAGGAGGTGGTGAAAGAAGAAATGGAAGTGGGGAGGTTGGGGAAGGTGGGAGAGGCTGCCCTGCCCTTTTCCCCTCCCCAGCTTTATTTGCAGCTCCTCGCTTGACTCGCTTTGCTTGCAGATGTTTTCCCCCTTTTCCCATTTAGGAGCCAAGACTCACGCTGTACTTTTTCCTCGTTTCTAACAAGGAAAATAAAAATATTTATAATCCCACCAATTCAAAAAATATTTATTACTACTTGGTATTTTATACCACTCAAATAGCATCTAAAACAAGTACGAACAGATGGTAATATTAGAGAAGTTAATCTGCTTAAACCAGTTCAAGAAATGTCTTAAGACTATAGCACAGCTCATCATTTGGAAGGCCACATACCTTTTACTCGCGTATGCGCAAAGAATTTTCACTTTACTGGCACCTTGAATTTTTCTAAACAATACATCCACGAGTTGGCCATAGTTAACTTTGATTCTTATTAGATGTTATGCATAATAGTTTGTAATTTTCAAATTTGTAAGGAGGAAAGGAATTCTTTACTTTTAAATTGTAATTTGTGATTTTAAACAAGTGGGGGTATACATTTCAACTAGTTTTGTAAGCACTGAGCAAAGAAAACTTGAATCTTATGGTTAGGTAAAATCGATTCTAATATAATGCTTTTGTTTTGTTAGGTTTCGTCTTGTAGGAATGCTGATAATTGTTGGTGTGCTTATGGGTGCCAGTTTTATTACAACAGCCATTATATACGCTCACTATGACCTTGCAGCCGTGTTGTTAGGTGCGAAAGCACAAGCTAACAGGTAAGAATTGTCAAGAGGGTTAATCATCCTTGTCACCCCAGAAATGTTCATTTTCTTAGGCTGCCCATTTAGGCACCGAATATTTTATCCTGTTGCATTTAACTGAATGTCATTTTGACTGGTAGCTGCGTATATCATTTGTTTCAACGTCTTGTCTACTGGTTTTTCTAAACAGCAATTTGGAAGGCGGAGAAAGCTTTGTATGGGTGTATAAGCAAGCAAGCAAGCAAGCTCCCCTGGGGAGAACACTCCCGTACCCCTGGAGAGATTGCTCGCAGGTTTACGTTTGGGGTGCCATATTGCATTTTTAAGACATCACACAGGCATCCATACATAAACTATTCTAAAAAATTAGGTCAATAAATGGTTCATCTGAAATGATATTGTAATGCATCTTTACTGTTACGAGATAAGTGAAAGGTTTAAAGGGACAGGTTCACGGTTAAGCGGATGCTCATTAATTAAATTGCTTTTTTCTAATTTATTATTAATTCTATCCGCGGTTAATAATCCTACTCACATGTATCACAGCGATCTCAGAGTGTATTTCAAAGAAGAAGTGTATTTCAGAGTAACCTGAAGTAGGATGGAGGAGTACTAAAATCGCAGAAAAAATTAGTGGATTATGCCAACACTACCAACGTTGAATTTATTGTTGACCCGAAGGTTTTATTCCATGGTTGATTAATTTAACGCTATTCGCAAGCATGTAAGTTGGTCAAGTGCAAGTGACTGTGCAGATTGGTTCTTTGACAACATTATGACATGATCATATTGCTTGCATAGACAATCCAGCATGTCCCGGCAGAAAAACAGCATTTTGATAAATGAGCATACGCTGAACCGTGAACCTGTCCCCTAAACAAAATAAAGGAAAGCATAAAGGTGAAGTATAGACATTGCCTATCCCTCCCCGAATCTGACAGGGGTTCAAGTCTTTTGAACATGTTCTTAACATCCGTTGGAGCTGTGAACGCGTTGCGACAAAAGTTTCTCTTAGGTGCGTTCTCACTTCCTATCCACGTAGCCTTTTCCCAGATACTAAATACTTACTGATATGGTTCCTTGCTAGACCGTCTGTTCAGAACCCCCTATTTTTCCCCTCTGGGAGGGGTTCGGTTTCCCTCCTTCTACCGCTATAATTTCCGACACTCGCCCCCATGGTACTTTTGAAACCAAGGTGGTCACTCGTTTCACTAAGCGCTTGATATCAGCGATCTGTGAACAGTCCACCTTGCTACCCTGACCATCTCTGGGATAAAATAAATCCAATATCGTGTCAAAAAAGACTTTGCGAATACCAGGTCATATGCGAATAATTTTGTTGTTGCAGGGCCAAAGGTGTAGATTCAATGTCTTTGACTTATGTGAAACCTTACTGTCGCATTGCACCGTACCTTGTTGGTATGCTGTTAGGGTACATAATTTTACACTTTAAGGACTGGAAGATGTCCAAGGTAACAAGTTAATACATACGTACATACATGACTTATTTGTTAACGCAGGTCAGATTACATTAGCCTATGAAAACAGCCGACATTTTCCGACGCCACCTCTGGTTTCCCCGCGTAATGACGTGTGAGAAACGAACACAGAAATTCCATTCTGATGACTTGTCATTACCCAGATTGGATAGTGCTTCTGATTGGTTGGAAATTTGCTTCGTCCAGTCATAAGCAATACCCAAATCTGGGGGTGACGCATCATCAGTATCGAATTTATGCAGTCGTTTCTCAGACGTCATTTCGCAGGGAAACTGGTGGTGGCGTCGCTGTTTTCTCAGGCTAAGGTTAGACAAAGTTAGTAGAGGACACCGGTTATTAAAGCTGGTAAAATCAGAGATGAAAACAACGGTGGAAGTTCCTTGACCGTGCGCAATTAATGCGGTGTTTTTTTTTGTCAGTAAGTTCAAAATGATAGGAATGCTAATGAACGTTGTGTACGGCCTGGTCCAAAAAAGCGAACAAAAACATATAACAAAGAAATCTGTCAGGCTTCATAAGCAAGGCAAATGTGCTGATGTGGTGTACTTGCAGTACAGTAAACACCAGCTTATGAGAATGAGCGGATTAAGAATATCAGTCTGAACTTTGGCTAATAAAGCAGTGCCATATTTATAAGAACCAATTCAGCTATGTTTTTATATAAAAAAAATTAAGAGAATGCCACGATAGGAAACCAATACAGTGTCTCAGATTAAAGTACTATGGTTTGCTGGCTCATACGAATCATTATACGTTTCTGGGAAACTGCCCACCTACCCCTCCCTTAATCGAACATTTTTCCCTACGTGAGAAGTATGTGTTATTGTGGACTTAAAGGAGGGGTAGGTGGGCAGTTTCCAAGAAACGTTTAATCCCATACAAACTCAGGGACTGCTGGTTTTGAGAAGCAAGAAATGTTATGAAATGTTAAAACTACTTGGTTATGACTACTCATATTATTAATAGTATTTTTTAATTTGAAATTTATTTTTTAGTGTAAGTAATAAAACATGGTAAACACAACCAGGTTCCTAAAACTGGTAAGCTGACTTTCTTCCTTTTCCAAGGTGCGTACATATATGTTCAATGTTGCTGGGTGGTGTGTTGCAATCGCTCTGGCTTTATCTACACTGTACGGTGAATACAGTGCTGTGAGAAAGAACAATCCAAAGCCCTTCAATCGCGCCGGAAATATCATATACGGGACCTTCTCACGCTGCGCGTGGGGCTTGGCACTAGCTTGGGTGATTTTTGCATGTCATCGCGGGCTCGGAGGTAGGTGTCAATTTGTTAGTCAGACTTGAGTTGGTAGCAGTCGAAAATTTTCTTAACATTGTAAGTGTTACGGAAACACCTAAAGGTTGTCTAGAGTTTCGTTCGCTAGTGGACGTAGAATCTTCTGAGGCACCTTTCAGGACAATATCGACAGCTCATATAAGTACCTTGCCTTACCTTATTTACTGCAGTAACTCGCGTTTAACCCTAATCCAATGTAGGTGCCACCTATTTGACTGCACTAGAAGAGTGTGAAACAGAAGTTGGAATTATTTGGTGGACTTTGAGGTGTAAATTGTAACATATCGGCTGACTTTAAAGCATGTTTGAGCTCATTTCATGTAATTCTGACTGTGGTTTTCTATTTTGTAGGTTTGGTGGACAAAATTCTGTCAGCTCATTTCTGGATTCCATTAAGCCGACTGACTTACTGTGCCTACCTGGTTCATCCTATCGTCCTGACCACATATCTCGGTTCTCTGGAGACTAATCACGATTACTCTGATGTCCTCATTGTAAGTAACAATTCTGATGTCTTGAGTAAAACCTTCTACTCGAACTAAACATTAAACCTTGACTTGGATCCCTATTCGACAAAAACTCCCAAAGTTCTTTAGTAAAATTCTGAAAAATATACAGCTCTTTGTGAAAGAACTGCAAAAGAGGTTTCATTTAAATGGTCATACCCACAGACTCAAAGTTAGAACCACATACTAAAAATATAGTACCATGTCAAAATACAACAACAACAACAACGATAATTAACAATTACTGGACGAGGTTAAGCAAAATATCGAGATTTGTCAGTGGCGAGCAGATCAATTATTTACCGAAGACGAAGGCTGAGGCAAATAATCGATCCGCGAGACACTGACAAATCACGATATTTTGCGATAACCGAGTTCAATAATTGTTTTATCATTCGATCACCACGTTTGTTTTGTAATGAATATCTTCGCGAATCGGGAAGCGAAGCAATCTGCCATTAATTTTTTCACGCAGGAGCGATCGCAAGAAGGAGAAAAACGTGGTTTCGTTTACGTATGACCGGAGTATTATCTGCAGCCAAACACAGCTGGACGACATTGCGCATGAGTAGACCATTATTTGTAGGCAGTTATTTGCAGGTCACTTGGTGGACTTTCGGCCAATGAAAAGAAGAAAAAATTTGCATCGAATGATAATAATCTTTATTTTTCTTTAACTCAAGTTTCGGGAGGGGAACCCCGGGAATGAGGCTGTATACAACAGTGATTTTGGAGGCTTTATTTATGTTCTATTTACTGAGGAATTATTTGTGTTTCTCCTTTTTCTTCCACAGTCGTTCTTCTTTACTGGTTCGGTAGTCCTTTCATATGCTGCAGCCTTCATTGTATCAGTGTGTGTCGAGTTTCCCATGATGCAACTGGAGAAACTGATTTTTAAAACCCAACGCTGAGCTCTGATGTCTCTTAGGTCTCTTTTTTGCTTCAGGCCCCGGTTGTTTAGGCATGGAAAACTTAAAGTTAAGTCTCGTACTCGAACTCCTTCTCGTCCTCAGATCTGAAGCTCTCTCGGTTGAAAGCCACTTTTGACTCATTCCCTGGAATAACATGAAATCTAGGTTGTATAACTAGCACGTGTTTTTAAGGGTTGCCACAGAGATGTGTTTATAGATGAAAGCTTCAGCTAGCGTGCGAGTACGCTCTCCCTCTGGGGCTGCCTGTTGACCCAAACGACTCTCTCTCGATGAAAATTTGCGCGCAAAGGAAGACGAGAAGGAGAAAACTGGCGAGACTTCAAGTCTTTCTCCTTCCCATGGTCCCTTGCGCTTCGTCACCATTCTCTCGCGTTTCGTGACGTCACGTTGCCATGGAGAACGTTCTACACTTGGTAGAATGTAAAAAAAGCGATAAGTTTATATTAGCAAAACAACAACTTTGTACGTGCATCACGCTTTTTGTGCATTTCTTAGCCGTCGTTACACACGACTGCGACTTGGAACTTCCTAATTTCACGCGCTCGTTCTATGGGTTGGTGAACACAGCACGAAAAAAATTTTCTTGTTCTTTTTTTAAACTCAGATACGGTCCTTTCGGATTCAACCCCAGAGAATTTTGCCAACATTTAACAAATCAAATGAAACTGAACTGTGAACCGTGTGAAATGCCTCTTTAAGTGACGTTTCAACCAAAAATGTTGCTACCGTGGCAACGTGACGTAACGACTTCTCCTCCCCATGGGCATTACAGTTTCCATTGACAACTACTAGTTAGCTTTATTGTGGTCATTGCTTTCTCACCTAAACAGATGGATTTTTATCGGGCTAGGTTTACACTAGAAGAGACTTTTCCAGATTCATAAATGTTTCCGGGTTTATTACATTTAGGGTATTCGGACTCGCAGGCGCTTACACGCATCAGTTAATCGGGGAATATTCATTGGATACAAAGTATTCTGAAAAGATGAATATATGAACTTCATATATTTGAACTGCAGGATGAAGAAATGAACGCAGACAAGATCATCACAAGTTGCGAAAAGAATGCTTGAAAAACTTCAAGCTTGCCGGGATTTGAACCTTGACCTCTGTGGTACTGGTGTAGTGCTCTTTGGGAGCTGGTGATTAAATTGGTTTAGAATAGAAGTAACAAAGTATCAGAGATGCCAACCTCCTGGAGACTCTCTCTTTTTCACTACCCTCCCCCCTCCCCGGAAATTCAATGAACCCCGCCCCTCCCCCCCACCCCCGACAAATGTGGAAATGACTAAGGACATTATATAAAGTCTTACATGAGGAACATACTATGAAAATTCGCGATCATTTCGCAACCATCGTTTTGATGCCAGACAGAATCTTTGTCAGTGACTAAATAGGTGCAAAAATGCCCCAGAAACCGTTGTACGAATAAGAAAAATTCAAGTTTTGAGCTAAAAATGTGCTAAATCTCACTAAGGCACCGAAAAGCTCAAAATTAGAGATGATTTTATCCGGGAGATATGGTGACCCGTATGGGAGACCGGGAGATTGGTGTCGTATCCGGGAGAGTTGGCATGTATGCAGTATTCTCCTTAGATTTGGGATTTAAAATCCAGTCCTGATTTAAGATTCACGTATCAGCGCGAAAACGACAAAAATGATCCGGACAAATCTCTTCCAGTTGAAACCTTGCCATGGTTTTTACATTTTAAGAAATTATATGATTTTTTTTTACAATAGAGTATTAAGTTCTCTTGGTTTTTCTATAGAAAGCTATAGAACCTTTTTATGAGATCATTTTGACCTGCTTATATTTCCTCAAAGTGATAAAATTACATGTAGTGTCAAGAAATTAATTTTAGTTCAGATAGCTAGGCGTTTCTTAAAGTTGCACGTATGGAATACGTTTGATTTTATTAAAACATAGTCAATTAAGGAAGTATAAAGATCATACTCAGTGTTCATTGAGGTTTATGAAGTTCTACAACGTAGTATGTTATCTCTCATTTCGTAGTTTAATCATCGCCTTCTTCATAAATAATGTACCTAAAGTATTTAGAAAGGGTATCTAGGGCAAAAAAGGAACTGTATCTGGGTTAAGAACAGGGGCAGATCTAGGGAAGAGGCCTGGGTTCCCCTAATTTTAGGCCAGACTGGGGCCCTCAGGGCCAAGACATGGACTAGCTAGGACCTGCGCTTGTATTCCTTAGTTTTCTATTTGAACATTGATTCAGGGCTCGAAAAGTTAACGGGACTTTCGAGAAATGGCTCACTACTGAGAAATCTTGCATTCGCTATTTTGGAAAGATCAAGAGAGACTATAACAAATCGACCACAATTTCCCATAGTCTACGCTCTTTTACAAAATAACTAAGATAGTACGCGCGTTCCGATTGGTTAAAAACCTATGGTTTATTGTGCCGGTAAACTCAGAGTTTTACTGAAAGTTTTTTTATAAAAGCAATAGACCACAGTTTCTATGGCTTTACTGGCGTGATAACCCACTTGGGATGTTGGGAGAACGCTCGAAAAGCTTGTAAATCACTTGCCATTTTCTGATTTCTAGGGGTAACACAGTTCTCCATATTTACGGTTAACAAACGTACAAGAATGTTTGTACTGTAGATGAAAACAGGAGGCCATAATGACCATAATCCGGAGCGAGCAACTTCCATACTAGGACTATGTCACGGCGTTTTTACAGAACAGTTTATTTTTAGACACATTTTAGGGCACCTTTTCCCGTGAAAATAGAATCTCCACCATGTCTATGAACGCATTCGAAGTATAAGATATCAAAAAGGAAAACTAAACGTTATTAAAAGGCAAAAAAATCACATTTTTAGGTTGGTAGGTTTTGCTGACTGGTTTTTGGAATTTAAAGATATTCAAAATTCGCGCCAAAACCGTTAGTAAAAATAAACTGGCCCGTTAAAACGCCGTGACACAAGCGTATGGAAGTTGCTCGCTCCGGCTTATGTGCCCCTGAAAAGTAAAGTGTTCTTCATTCAGTCCAAAAAATGGGCATCCTCGGAGACCCAGGGGCGGTCAGTCGGGCCGGGAGAAAAGGCGCGACAAAAGTTTTCAAGCACTTTTGTCGCGCCTTTTCTCCCGGCCCGACTGACCGCCCCTGGGTCTCCGAGGATGAAAAATGGGTCAATTGTGAGCTCGGTGCACAGGCTACCCAAACTAATATACTGTGTGCCCTTCTAATGATTTTGTATGGGAAAAAATGGGAAACGTAAAATGCCGAAAAAATAAAGAAAGTTAAGTTATTGGGTAAAGTAAACTTATCTCATATTCATACACTTAAGAACCAACTCAAGAGCCCTTTTAAAAGCTTCACTAGCGAGATAAATTAGAAACATCATCGATCGTGCAGATCCAAATGGACCCGGGAAACAGAGATTCCAACCCTCCCGATTTGATCGGGAGTCTCCCGATTTGATGTCTTGCCTCCCACTCTCCCGATTTTTACCAAATTCTCCCGATTTATTATAAAATTCTGAAAACTTGGGAAAAATTGCTGATCTTTAGAATTTTTGGCGATCTGTCACTGTAAAACACTCATATTACACTTACTTTCTTCGCGAAGAGCATTATGGTATGTTATAACTCAGGTCGGAATGATGTCAAAATTCAGGAAATGGCACTTGAGAGAACCTAAAATAAATTTGCAAAATTTCCCGGGGGCATGCCACCGGACCCCTCTGAAAGCTTGCGCCTTTGGCGCTAATAATTACTCCCTATTTTCCATCTCATGGGTTGGAGTCTCTGCCGGGAAATAAAGATTCTAAAACAGCTGTAGAATTTAGTTGTAAATTAACGAAGAAAAGAGAGATTGGTTTACGTTTGAAGGAACTTGTAAAAATTGTCGAAAATATTTTGAAAGGCACTATCAACAATGACATCATTATATATATTTACCTGTCTTACTTAATGACGTAATGTGGATCTTGTGACCGAAGATAAACGCCGGGGAAATGGCGGCATGTTCTTCGTTTGCGGTGGTATTTTTCTCCAGTTTTCTCGTTTTCCTTCCATTTGCAGCTCCTTTAAGTGCATCTCCTGGATTGCTTTTTCTGATTCCTACAGTCAAATTGCACAAAAGTTTGGACTTTCATTTCCATTTCCCGTAATTCCCAGTTTGTCTCTCAACGTCTCTGTGCAATGCAACTACAGCCTCCACAATCTGTTTAGTAACCCCACACTTCTGGAGTATTGTAAGTATGACTAAAATAAACGCTTGAACGCGTTCAGTCAATTTCAAGGTTGAATTGAAAAACAATTGGCCTTTTTTCTGTTTTATTGCCAAAAGAATGGATTGTTTGCGCGATCTCGCCGCCGGTTATTCATGGTGGCAAGTATAGTTTGTTTAGTATCAAACTTTAATAGCAACTTTGACAACTAGGCGTTAAATCACTTAATCAGTTACCACTCACTCGAGAGATTGTCGGCTGTTTTCTCAAGCTAGCAAAGTTGCAGCGCGCTACACTATCTCGCAGTTAACCTGATCGCAGGTTATCTCGCAGTGCGTAACCTGAGCTGATCTGGCCCAGTTTTTGCCGTGTCATACGGTCACGCAGGGCCCAATACAAACTCTCGCGAGGCTGTTACGCTGTAGTCTGCTACACAGCCGTTTTTAGTGTCGTCACGCAACGCTCCTCCCCACTAACGGCTGCTGAAAACCGAACTACATTCCTTTCCCTTTGTGTTTGTGGTCTAACGAACAAACCAATCATGTACAAGAAATTTGACAATACGTGAGCCGCAGGGCGCTAGGCAGCGAGCACGTTTCTCAAAAAAGTTTGTTTTAAGTGGTCAAGAAAGTTCCAAGTGAAAAGAAGGTTTGATAGGCCTAGAAAACTTTTACCAGGATCGGCTGGTTCTTCATTTAACGTGCATATGTGCTGATATGTAGTGAAGAATTTAATGTACCGGATGTGCTCATTGTGTTCTGTGAAGACTAAACTCTGAAGGGTACTGAGTAGTCAAAAAGCAATCTTATAAATTATCGATGAGCGATTTCCCGAAACTATACCTGGCAACTTTATGAGCACATCCATGTTGTCAATCGCAATTTGCTCGACTTTCTTGCTGTTGCTGCTTATCTCCTAAATTTTGAATAGGACTCGACTACGACAACACTGTAGTTAATTGCTTGTTTTCACGCGACGATTTTGATTATTCTGTCATTCACACATGGGGCAACGATAAAAGCAAAGCTGTGATTGGAGGAGTCACAGTACCGCAAAGGTGGCGCGAACACTTTCCAGAAAATGGGAGCTGAATTATAATTGGCTAATCACGGGAAAGGAATGTAGTTCGGTTTTCAGCAGCCGTTAGTGGGGAGGAGCGTTGCGTGACAACACTAAAAACGGCTGTGTAGCAGACTAGTTACGCTGCGGCCAGATTTCGCTGCAATGCTGATTGACTTATGTGGGAATGCTGTAGGATGTGATTGGTTTATGTATATATTACAATTACTAAAGGAGGATATTACCACTGTCCTGTCATGCATTACATACACACGTACACGTATTTTAAAACGTGACTAACACTTACCTATAAAGCTAGTTTACAGGTCAGTCACAAAACTAAAAACAAGCCTGGAAACTATGTAAAAGTGTTTAAAATGATATATTATACAGAAAAAACTGCTTAAAGTTATAAAATTGTTAAACTTATATTCTAAGAAAACTAGGTTAAATTGCGAATAACGATCTATAAACTTACAACGATATTAAAGTGTTTACATAGTACATGGAAACTGCAATAAGATTATAGAAACTATGTAATACTTAAAATACTAAGAAAAACTAAGTGAAATTGGGAAAGGGACTATAAACTTGCAAGGTCAAGCTCCTTGAGTCCACGTTTAAAACTGTGATAACTATCAATATTTCTTAAATTATTTGGAATAGTGTTCCATAGTCGGGCAGCCTGGTATCTCCATGACTTGATCCCATACTTTGTTGAATTTGACAGCATTGACGGCCGAATCCCAGTGTGGCTCATTTCAAAGTGTCACCATGGAGGCAACACAAAGGCACAAGAGAGATACCCGAAATAATTTTTTACAAATCCAGCATACTCTGCGTAAACTGTATCGATTGTACAATAGAATTTCACGAAGTAGCTACAGATGCCCTTCTCAGGTGTAACATTTTGTTTTGTATGTAAATAACAGGGATCCATCTCCATTTTTTATCAGAGTTGTCAGCTGGGCAAGTAAGCTTGATGGCATACTTGCCCAGTTACAATTTATTTAGGTTGCCTGGACAAAAGTGCAAAATTATAGAAAGAACGGTGATAAAAAAAATTGTGTGCAACTTGAACATTTCTGATTTGCTCTTTATTTCCATTATAGTTACTAATAAAGGGCTTCAACTTAACTGTAAAGAAAAACAGGCTTAAGGCCCGAGTCTAAACACCATGTAGACACAGTCGTAGATACAGCAAAATTTGCTGTATCTACGACTGTGTCTAAATGGTGTTTAGACTCGGGCCTAATGTGGCATTTAATCTAAACAGTCAAATTTAATTGATTCAAACGTCATGCTTCACATGCATTTAACTCTCGCATTAAGTTCGGCACATGTGAAATTCAACTTGTGAAACGGGCCTTACTGTCTTTTTTCTTGCCGTTTTGAAGGAGGAAAATGTCTTCATGTGAATTTTCAGTTAATGTAGGTTTCTATTATACAGGAGGCCATGCACAAAATGTGTTTTAGTGCTATCCTCCGATAAAATCAAGTGTGATAATCTCCCAATGCAGCACCATTGGCAATTGATTATCATCCTTTAATAGCCCTTTTGGCGGAAATGGAAAGCAGGCCTTATTCTCTTAATTCAGTTCTTCCCTACTTAGAAATTTCGGATAATCATATGTTTCTGGGAAACTGCCCACCTACTCCTCCCCTAAGCCAACACCAACACTTAGCTCTCACTTGGGGCAAAATGTTGGCTTAGGGGAGGGGCAGGTTTCCCAGAGACGTATAATGATCCCAAATTTTCTAACTGTCACCAGAGATTATAGGTGATCAAATTTCCTTTCTTATTTAATTATGAGACCATGAAAAATACAACACTCAAGTGTTTAACATGTTAATTGTCAACAAGAAATAGAATGATATTATATTATTGTATTTTTTTCGTGCAATCATAGATTGAATTTTTTTCCTCATACATCTTGAAAAGATTTTGATCAATGATTGATTTTAATTGATAATCAACAGAATAATGTTAGATTCATTATTTGTTTTCAGACTTGGATGCTACTGGTAAACCTCCAAGTGGAATTCTAGTTGGAAATCTTGCCTGGTTAGGATCGTATGAAGAGTGCACAAAGTATGTTCCTGGTGCACATTACTGCATGGCCTTCTTTGATACACCTATTCAACCACTGACCAAGGTGAGAATGCTTTCACCATTAATTTGATTACCATCCATGTTTGTGATGGAACTTGAGAAATACATTGTAACTTGTGAATGGCAAAACCACAGCTTAGTATCAAACAAATATGTTTCCCATTATTTGTGTAGCATTATATCAAGTCATTTCAAATGTTAAAAATAACAAAAATGAAGTTTGAAGAACTGTTAGGCTGACAGGTTTTCAGTGCAATCAGGGTGCAAAGGAAGTCAGTTTTACAGCTTGCCATTCGGGCAAGCTGTAGCTAGCATGTACTAGCCTGAAAAGCATAAAACTAGCCTGAAAAAGATTTGATGAGCAGGATTGATTACATTTCTTCTGTAATTTGAATTCCCCCAGAAAAAATCACTTACCCATCAGGCAAGTTAATAACAGAATTCACTAGTCTGATAGCAAAATCCACTTCTCCCAGGTTATCGAACACCATTTTCTTTGCATGCTGGCAATCCATTTCAAACTTCTTTAAGTTTGGCAATCCGTGTCTTTATCTGTAAGGAGACAGCGTGGCCGAGCGGTTAGAGCAATGGATTTGTAATCCAGAGGCTCGAGTTCAAGTCTTGCCCTAACTGCTAGCTGGATTTGTTCTCGGTAGTCCTGAGCTCAAATCTACAGCCATGCTTGTAAATAGCCCAACCTTACTGGTGTGCCTCCTACCAGTTGGGATTTTTAACCTTGTTTTTCCATTTAGATTTATTTGTTTCATTGTCCCTAAAAAGCCCCATAAGGGGAGTGGATAATTAAGTACTTCGAAGGTTTTACTTCCTAAAAGAAGACTGTATAAATTCATACTTTTAGTGGCAGAAGTGTTTTGCAGAATGCTGAATGCAGAATGCAAAGGGCCAAATGACTCTGAAATTTAGTGATTATGGTTAGGAAACAGAGTGAATCAATTTCCATTTAGAGTCATTATACCGGAAAAGTTCAGTGGCGGTTCCAGGGGGGGGCCCTTATTTGTAGACCAAACTAAGGGCCGAAGGTCCAAAAAAAGTTTTTGGAGACCAGGCCCCCCTCTCATCTCAAGGTCTGGATGACTGGGCCCTTTCCTTATGTTAAGGTCTGGATCCGCCACTGAAGTTGACCTTCACTCTGTTTCCTGACCCTAATCACTAAACTTCAGTGTCATTTGCCATTCTGCATTCTACATTCAGCGTTCTGCATTCTGCAAATAAAATACCCGTGCTGAAAATGATGGGTGTAGGCAACTTTTAAGTGCTGGTACTCCTTATTTACTAAGAGTAACAGTTTTCTCTTTTCTATTTTTCTAGGCATTTCCTTTACAGTGGGGAATATGTGCACCCAAACAATGTGATGAGCACGATTTAACTAACTTGGTGGATAAATTTCTTGGCTGTAAGTTAGCCATTGTTTATATTAAAACATTTATTTTTTCATTTATGCTAACTAGGACTGCAGTGATACGTTTCTTCTGCATTATATGATACAGATCATATACATGGTGTACAAAAGCATGGTGTAGTACTTATTTGATTATAATCAATGATCAACTGGGCAGCGCGCAAAAAGGGTGGTGTCTGATATCCGGAAGCTAAAGCGTATTTTGCTATTGGGCTAGTGAATAATGTCCAGCGCTGGCCACAAGATCCCTACTTTCCTTTTTCATCCTTATACAATGTAGTTCTCCACGGTGTGGAAGTGTGAAAAAACCCTATACTTTCCTTGCTCATCCCAAGTTCTACACTTGCACGTGAAGTTTTCCGGGGGAATTCAAATAATTTTATAGAAGTGTAATCAATCCTGCTGGTCAAGATTTTTTTTTTTCGGGGGGGGGGCAGGGGGCAAGTCAAACTGACTTTCTGGATAGTACATGCTAACTTCAACTTGCCCCAAAAGGAAGCTGCAAAACTGTCTTTCTTTGCACCCTGAGGGGCAGTCTGATTTTTTCAGATGGTCAATGTCAACTTTAATCTTCACTGGTTCATCTTAGAGCGATTTTTGTATGACCTTCAAATAAAAACGCGCAAACAAAACAGAAACAACAAACAAACAGAAATAGCGCAATTTGATTGGTTCATCAAACAGATACAAACATGCATGGTATTTGGTTGGTTAAGCGAACCTTGGATGAAAAACCTTCATGCTGGAGAACTTTCTAGAAATCAACCGATACTTCGCTTTGACTTCATACTGCAACATGATTAGCCAATCGAACAATGCCTTCTCCATATTAGGTTTTTCTTTGGCGGGAAAAAGAAGAGGCCATGTTTTGACCTCTTTATCCATTGGCTGATAAAACAAATAACGAACTCTTGCCAAAACCATTTTTCAAGGTCATACGAAAATTGCTTTATCAGTGGTCCTTTTTTTCTAAGTGAGCTTTGTCAGAATTACCCCACCAGACTAAACTGTCTGTAAATGGAGCATGTCTGTTCCAGCTGAACTGCACTATACTCAGCTCTTGTAGAAGGACCAGCCTCACTCTCTTGTGTGAATAATTACAAGAAATTTGCTAACGAACAGTGATTTAGGAGAATAGAGATAATTAAAAAAGAGTGTAAAAAGCTGAGGTTTCGGCATCATCATGATGTCATTGGCAAATTGCCTTCTTGATAGACACCAGCTCATGATTAAACGGAACCTTTTCCCTGCAGCATTTGCCTGAAAATTAGCGGTACGGCTTGTCTGTGGGGAGAAATCTGTGACTGACCACTTTTCAAATTTGCTTTTCTCTAAATTTGTTATTATAAATGTCAGTTGTTAAATGTTTTTGTGGATTTTACTTATGTTTTACTCGTAGTGAAAATCAATGTCAAGGTTAATAGTAGAATGGAGTATTTTAGGTAAAAAATATGTTTCTAGTACCGTGATCAAGTCACGTCTTCTCTCTAAAGTCATCATAAGCCAATCATGACTCACGATTTAATAGCGTTGAACTTTCTCAAAACTCAGTTCAGTCAAAAAACAAACAGCAGCACTTCAAACCACGAGTTTTTGCACTCATTACATGATAACTTATGAAAGCTGTTTTACAGGAAAAGTCAACACATATTCATGCGAACGTACAATGAAAGAATACGTTCATGGTTTGTTTACTACAGAAGTAGAAATTAATTGAACATCAGACTGTACGCAGCTGTATTTGGTTGAGTCGATCCGTAAGAATTTCGTTGTTACAGACGGAACTGACAGCTATTGTAATAGAGGACTTCATTCACTTTTTACAAGCCGCAGTGGTTTAATATCTGTTTTCTGGACTTTATTATGATCAAGAAATGCTGCGGTAATGACGTGGCTGCATTTGCGAAGTTGTCGCATGTAACTTTATATGCACGTACAGCGACCGATGGAAGTATGTCAGTGGTGGAGAAAGGTTTCTTTGCCGTAGCCACATATTGGCGTTAATATTTGTTGATTCGTGAAGTGAGGTGGTTTGAGGTAGGTTATGGCATCGATATCACTGAATAATTCGTGCAAATTAATGTTGGAAAAAACCAGCCCGAAACTCTGACATCTTTCATCAACGTTGGCAGCTTGTTTACAACCTACAGCGGCCGATTTTGTACCCATATCTTGATCAGAGATCTCTTTTTGGAACAAGTATAGGCACAGTACTAGATAAGGAATTTAAGTTTGAGATAAAATAAATCAAGAATGCTAAAACTATCCGTTTTGTTGCTGGTTGGCTTATGGTTAAGTTTTCCTAGAGACGTTCTACACCAGAAATTCACAAAGTTGTTGTCTTTCTCTGCGATTTGGCATCGTCGTGAAATGTAAACTGTTTTCCAACTTTGTACTTTATAACTTCTAAAGCTATATGGCAGTAGCGAATTGTGACGCTCAGTAATAAAATGTGGAAACCAACGCTTTTAATATTAAGAAGGGCTGGGTAAGTAAGTTGTTCTGTTTTTTAGCCTTTCTAAAATCGTTATTTCCAGAACAATAGCCGGTTTTGTTTATGGTTCGTGGTCCGGATGCCTTTTTCTATGGGTTTACCGGTATAATAAACCATAGGTTTTTGACCAATCAGATCATGCGTACTATCTCAGTTGTTTTATAATTAGTGATAGCACTCAAAAGTATAACAATATAACATAGCTGACAGCGTGATCAGAGTACGAAAATCATATGCTCTCTCTTTTCCTTTTTAGTTCTTAAATTAGTTAACATAACGATTGAATTGAGTCCACGAGTTGCTGAAGCAGGAAGCAAAGAGGCTAAACCTATTTACTGCAAGAAAGAACCAGAATACACAACTGGGGTAATAATTACTCTGTAAGTACATAGCTATATGAATCTTTGAAATAAAAATTGCGCAGAATTTATAGTATTATGTTACAAAGTGAAAGAAAGCTGGGTTATTTACTTGGAACAAATGCCACTAAATCGTAGTCAACAGTTACCAGCACCGTACAAATGACTTATGGACAGATCAGAATCAAGCAAAACTAACTACGAAAGAATGACTGGACGACCCAGGGGGGGCACTTGGGTATTTCTTGGGTGGTATGTGCCACCCGGGAGTCCAAATTGGCACTCCGTTCTAAAAAAAATTTCCCCTAAAATTGATACTCTGTTCTAGAATTCGCCCTAAAACTGATACCCCGTTCTAGAAATGGGCCAATTTTTTATACTCCGTTCTAAGGTGCAAAGAGTACAACAGTTTGCTTGTTAACGAATTGAACTGTATTTTTAAAAGCAATCTGTCCTTGAATAATTTCAAATGGCTGCTTACAAAACTGGAGCTTTCGTGCGTTCGAAATATTATACCCCTCTGAAATGGATACCCTGTTCTAAATCAGGAGCTTCAAAATCACGACCCTGTTGGGCGGCACATACCCGTATAGGTAATGTATGGGAGTACCCCACCCCCGGGCTGGACGACTGACAATATTTATTTGGCTAACAATAAACAATTGTTTGACTGCGACAAGACATGGATCAAAACGCACCAATGACATTACAAGTCCCGATAACCAATAACATCATGGCTTAACTGACAGAGGACCAATAACATCGCATTTTAATTGAGCAGTCAGGTCAAATAACCAGAATTTAATACCATCAGCTAATGTGATACAACTCACTTTGACTCTGAAGATGACTACCGCACAGGTTGTCAAAATGTCAGTCACTGTCAACAACAAAAGTCCTATTCAGGACTCAATCACCCAGACAATCATACTCAACCTACTTATGATGGTATTATTTATACAGAACTGGCTCATGTTCTTAAACTTCAACTTGTTTAATCAGAACATAGTGAATTCACATGTGGCCATGACAGTAAACTGTGACAAAAGCAAGCCCAAGCTGTGCAAATACTAAAATTTGATTGGACATTAACACAGTGCAATATCATCACATTATACATAAGAATAATAATTATTATTTATGTGCAATTTAGGCCCAAGCTAACCTAGCTCAAGTATTCTGTCATAAATTTGCAATATTGTTCTGCTATGTGATCAAAGTAATGCAAATTGTTGCTGCAAATATCAATATGTTTTTGTTTTTACAATTTGTATCATGTATTGGTGTGCCGATGATCAATTATAATCAACCATCAATGGAAAACTTTAAGCTGCACGATAATAAATTTGTAGAAAATGTTCAATAGATTATTGTGGGGAAAAAAAATGTCACGTTGGCAAATATGGGTATTAAATACTTGTTTGTTGTCTTTTTATCATCTATTATTATTATTCAAGGAGAAAGAGAATTTAATCACCTCAAAGCACCAAAATATTTTGAGGTCCAGCTGAGAATCAGACTCACAGCCCTGTGAGTCCTAGATCAGATGCGCCAACCACTGAGTTACTGAAACTCTGTGATATTTGAGCATAAAATAAAAGTTGATGTTGGCAAGCACTAACTCGTGAGCCTGCAGATCACTGCGGTTTACCCCACATGGTCTTTCCTTATCTAGCACTGGGAGTGTGCCTATGCTAAATTCCCTCTCAGTCAGCACTTTCTTCTATCATTGCAAGTTCAAGCAGCAAAGTTGACCCTTCCAACCTCCTGTTATTATAGGCTTCCTGTAGTTGCTTGTCTTTTATTTTACTTTCTGCTTATTATTTGTTTTTTGTTTTTTCTTTGTGTTCAATGGATAAATTTACGGTGGGGAATTGCTGCCTGCGGCACCCCATCAGCCTTGTGCTGAAGCCTCATCACGGAACTTGGCCAAGGACATTATCCCAGCCACACGGATGTGTGAACCATGCTTCCCTTGCAGTACAGGCATGAGGCACCCTCTCGGCATGGCACCATATGCTGAGACCCCTCATCTGGTGGGTTATCTGGTCGGTGGGTTCTAACCGAGCCTTGCTGGCTTTTCCCTGCCCAATTTCGTCTACCAAAGCCTTGTGTGTTGTGTTATTTCTTTGTCTTGTCGGTGCACCTTAACATTAATGCCCCTTATGTGAAACATATTGAATGTTTGAGATGATTACAGTGCTGTATGAGGCCATAAATCATTGCATCTTTGAAATGGTCTTGAAAGGTTTGGTGTCAAAGTGTGGGTTTGGTAATGAAATGTTTTGTTGAATAATTTGTTGTCTTTTCTTGTTGTATTTAGAACCTTGTGTGGAATAATCTTGTCTCTCTGCCTTGTTGGAACAGTCCTTGATGTACTCATTAGCTTTTTTAAACCACGCCCATCAACAGTGAACAAAAGTGATGGATTCATGCCAATCAGAAATGTTTCCATAGCTACTGATAATGATCAGGGTCCTCCTCATGTTCCAGTCTTTGGAAAACATGATGGAATCAGCGACAACTCACAAATGATTCATTCCATCCCTCCTGAGGGGACAGTTAGTTACAGTTCTTCATTAACCAGCTTTCCTGAACAGCCAAAGGAACCAAGTAAGTTTTGAATGTTATCAGATAACTGTTTTAAACTGATTCTTGCCGGCTTCAGTTGGTGCTCTTATTTATTTTACAACCTGTTGAGCCAAGATGGTTAAACATAGCACCAGGAAGCCATAATTGGCTTTTACTTGGCGGGGATTGGGGGGTGGGGTTGTTGGTGAAATGGCCAATTCCAAGGGAGTGACTGGGAGAAAGGCTTGTACAATGATTAGGGCAGCTTTCTGTCTTGCCCTTTTCACCTATCTCTGCTGCAGTAAGGTCACATACTCTGGGATCAATTTCCTGTGTATCTTTTGAACCAGATTTCAGGTTTGCCTGCAGCAGACATCAGTTTTTCTTATTAGGTTATCTAAGAAAGTGAACATTATCGTCACAGTAGAATGAACAACCAAAGCGTTTGAAAAAAAAAAAAATCCTGAAAAGAAATTTAGGCTTGGCTGGGAATCAAACCCTGACCTTTACATTGGCTGGACACAGTGCTCTATCTATTGAGCTAATCAAGCTAGCTGGAGAGCAAACCGTTGTGACAGGGTTGCCATGGTCAGAGAAAAGTCAAGCAAAAACGAAAATTTTTCAAGGTAAGGGAAAAGTCAGGGAAAATCTTTGATATTGTCAAAGTCAGTGAAAAGTCAGGGAATTCTGTTTTCTGGTTTATAGTTCATAAGTTTTCTTCAAGACTTTGAAATGCATTTTCTTTTGGAAAAGACGAAAAGTATGCTACAAAGCAAGGAAAGCAATCAATTTGACACTCTTCGTCTGACACATGTAGTATTTGTGGTCAGTGGTTTTTGTTGTAAATGCTTTCTTCCAACTTCCGTCTTCCTCTTTCCACGAAAAGCGGAAATAGGGTGAAAATGAAGAGAAACTATCACTGGCCTGCAAAAATAGCTAAAGTGAATGTAAACATGGATTGTTTCTCATTAATAAAAGGTCAGTGAAAACTGTTTAAAGGTCAGTGAAAAGTCAGGGAATTTTTAACTTTCTGATGAGTGGCAACCCTGTTGTGAGTTCGTAATATACCTGATGGTGGAATTGACATGAATTGGTGAAATGAATCATATTTTGAACTGCAGAAAGAGATCATGTTCACTTTCATATCTACACTGATTATTTTTGTTGATTGTGAAAGGCAATTTATTTGTTTAATTGTTTTTTTTACACACAGATGTGGTGGCAAAATTTCTTTTGTGTTTTTCTCTTATCCAAAACACAAACCGCATTTTGAGTACTAAAGTTCCTCCAGGCGCGATAACATCAATCAATGGCATGAGAGTATTGAGTATGTGGTGGGTTATACTTGGACACTGTTATGCTTTTCAGGTCATGACTGGTCTTCCAAGTAAGTTATTTCATATTTTTATCACCAATAAACTCCCAAAAATTTATTTTAGAAGAAGAAATAATTCTAGTAGGCAGCAACTGTTTCAATATTTTAAAGGCGAAAAGGGCCTTTCGTGCAACCCTGGATCTGAGGAGTGTCAGTGTAGGTATGAGAGGGGGATTGTTATTTCCTCTCATTGGGTGGCTTGGCCACTACTTTTGCAGCTTTAGGATGGTGTAGTTCACTCCTCAGTTCCTTAGACATCACATCTTTGGTCACTCATCAGAGACAATATTCTGGGCCATTATTTTAATGGAGTTTAGCCAGTGTTTCACAAAACTGTGTTCTTAGTCATTTTCACACTATTTACCGTGAACAGTTTCACGGAAGTATGTAGGGTAGACTAGAGAAGCATTTAACAAATAACCCATTAAGAAAGGGCTCTTGCAGTCCATTGATGTCTGAAACCACAACCTAAGTTAGACCTCCTTTAACCCATTCGCCCCTGGCATTTTTGCCGAAAAACGCGTTTTGAAGCTATAGTCAAGCGGTTTTCTGGTCACTATCCTGCTATATTGAGCTAAAACGTACCATAAAGCCATTTACAGGTCGTACACTTTGCGGCCTTCTGATCCAGATGGAAAATATATTAAATAGATTATTACTGCCAAACACTTACCCCTTAAGGCCTTAACTATAAGCAAGGCTGGCTGCGGACACCAGGAATAGAAACTAGAAACCACTTGCATTTAGTGTGTCTTCTGGTGAGTGATGTGTCTTTGTATGTTTTGTAGGTAACCTTTTTACATTTTTTGGCATCATTAAACGTTTCACATTTGAAGCTATTGGAAATGCAACCTTTTCAGTGGACAGTTTCTTTTTCTTGAGGTATGTTATGATTATTACATATACATTATAAATAATTATAGTAAATAATGATAAATACTCAATTATCTCCTCTCTTTATGAGGCTTTTCAGGGATAATGATACAAATAATTTAAATGGAAATAACGTTGATGGTAATTAAGAATCCAGACAGGTAGAAGGCAAACCAGTTAGCATTTTGCAAGCTTGGCCGAGGATTTGAACTCAAACTAGTGGTCAGGACCTCAAAATTAGTGGTCAGAGCAGGGCCTGTGGATTACAAGTCCAGTGCTGTAACCTGTGGGCCACACAGCCTCCACAGTAACGTACCAGGGGAGATTTACATGCTCCTTTATGTGGTTTAAGTCTCCAAAAGCTGGTTTTGTTTGCATGATGGTAATAAAACAGATTTGTGTAATTCTAAACATTAATTTTAACATTAATGTATAGAATATCTCTTTGTGGAAAAACTGGGAAGTTAAGGCATTTATCAAACATGATCAGACAGTAAAGGTCGAATCAAATATCTGGATTTTAGCCTGCAATGAAAACGAAAACACTTGTTTTTAATTCTGGAATACAGTCAATCGAAAGTACCCAAAGTGTCTTTTGTGGGGAGGCATCTGTTAAGAGATAGTCAAGTGAAGACTTACCTTTTGATTCTAATCCTTTTGTACTCAACAGCGGCTTCTTAGTTGCATATTTGTCTCTTCGGCACATGCAGAAAAATAATGGGCAGCTTCCACTCTTCAGTTACTATTTTCATCGCTTTTGGAGGTGAGAGAACAGCAGACATACTCTCCTTTTTTGTTCAGGTGAAATTTGTGCATCCATCAGCATGTGTAATTTCAAAAGTAATGTTAGTGTGCTTTGAATGAAAAATGGGAGAATTCTTGTGAAATTTCCCCAGTAATGAAAATTTATATTCATCACCAATGGATGAGTTTGGGTGCTGGTGTTGTTAGTGGAGCTGGGCAATACTCTAGCACGAGAAAGGGAACCCTGGGAGCATCCTCCACAAGACGCTGTGACACTCAACTCAACTGTTTAGTAGAATACTAAACTACCAATTAAATACTTACCTATATCCCCTTAAGAAGGAGGGGTTGGGAGAAACACAGCACTAAAACAGCATGCAAGTAACAATGCTACAGGAGAAGATACCTTGTGAAGAACTGCAAGCAAGCAACTGCGTAAAAACAAGACACCGTACAATAATATTGTAGTGGGGAAAACTGCAAACCAGCTTTGTTTCGAGGCTAAATTACATTTAGCCCGTAAAACATGAAGTTAGTAATACTAGTGTTACAATGTTATTATTCAGTTAATGTTTTGAACAGAGTCATGTCTTTTAAAACTATGGGGAATATGATTGGCCAGGTGAGTGTAGCCTGCCCTACCAAAAGATCACAACCCCCTCTCCAGAGTTCCTCGATCACAGTCTTTCTAAACTGTGATCAGGCAGTCCTTCTTCCCTTATTAGGGAGCTTTAGCATCAACGACGGCTATGGCAGTGCAAATGTCACTTGTAAAATGAATCTGCCTTTTTTCAAACTTTGTCGCGTCTCTTCCAATTCGCTGACAATGTCAAATGAAGGTGAATTTCCTTTGAGTTGATTTCTTAGGGGACCGTACTCAAGTTTAAAAAGAGAAAGAAAAATTCGACATCGCTTGTTTACGTCCTCCATAAAACGTGAAATTAGGTATTTTCACGTCGTAGTCGTGCAGTGACTGCAACGAAATGTACAGAAAAACGTGATGTCTGTGCAAAGTTGTTGTTTTGGTTAATAAGCCTATTGCTTTTTTGCCGTTCTCGTTGACGTCGCGGTCGTCGTTGCTAAAGCTACGGAGGGAGAGAAGCGACAACCGGAAATGCGTCTGCGGTTCGCAGGCTAGGGGAAAGGAGGCCTGATACTTAAAGCATCGTCTGTCTGTAGTCTTTCCTTCCCCCCTCACCCACCTGATCGCAGGTTACAGTCCCTCCTGTACATTTGACATCATTTTCCAGGTATTGCAAAAGTCTTCAAAATTTGGTCTGAACAAGCTGGTTATGATTGAAGAATTAGCCATGTGATTTTAGCCAATCAGAAACATAAAAATATTTTGAATGAATAATAATAATGTTGATGATGATGTCAGTGATGATAACAATAATAATTATAAATAGCTGCAAGTAGTAGCAGTTCTTGGTTAAAGTTCCTAATATTACTTGTATCACTAATACTCCGCAGATTGACTCCAACATACATGTTTGTTTTACTGTTTTGGAACAAGCTGACAGTATTTCTTGGTGAAGGCCCCAACTGGCTTAATTATCAGTCAGATGAAGCTTGTAACAAATATTGGTGGACCAATCTGCTCTACATCAACAACTTTTATCCTACAAAATTTGGTGCTTCAGTAAGTTGTTGATATTATCATTATTACAATTTATTTTTGTTTGGGGCTAATAATGATATATTTTGGTAGATCAGTATTTTAAGAGAGTAGTTTGAAGCACTATGTGTCCATCTTAGAGACAGGGCTGTCATTAAGAGGCGGGGGCCAGGGATTTCCCCTGGATACTATGAACATGAACCCCGGTTACTTTCATCGCAAAATGGAAGAAAAATAGAAGCAAAAGAAATCCCCTAGTTGTTTGATTCCCCACCTACTTGTTGTATTTACCCGACAACTTGACATCTTTGTGACATCCCTGTAAAGTAGATGTCTATCTTGGAGGAAATCAAGTAAAAGTAGCAATCAAAGGCAGGGACCCACCCTAGGTGTCTGTTGTAGCAAAGTTTCTATCTTACTAATTTAATTAATTTTAATTTATTCCATTTTCACTGCATTAGTTGAAATAAAGGTATCACACATAAAACATATACATATATATATATGTAAAGAAAACTTAGCTAAATTACATAAGAGAAAAATTAACTACATACTAGAAAAAAAAAAAAAAAAAAAAAAAATTATTGCAGTGGGGAAGGACTAGAAGGGAAAGTGGAAAGTGGACTTAGCTTATCCAGCTAGTTTACAGGCACTCCACTCAAATACTTAGAAACAAATAATTCAAATATCACATAATAGGATCAAGAACCGCAACTGACAGGAGGCAAACAGTTGGCTATTTACAAGGGTGACCGAGGATTTGAACTCGGGATGACTGAGAACAAATCCAGCAAGTTGCCAGAGCGGGGCTCTTACTCGGGATGCGCTGACCGATGCGCTGACCACTCGGCCAGGCTGCATCCTCACATTCTGGGGCTTATACTGTTGAGCGCTACTATTGTTCAAACCCAAACATCAATGTGCTTTTCCCATTAATTACGACCTTAATGGTCACTAATGTTAATTTTGGGTGTTATTCTGACCTTTATGTTTGATAAAGCAGTGTAGTTATGAGCAAGAATTAAATCCTCTTTAAGGATAAAAACTAAATCACTCTTTTCACACCTTAGCGCCTTTTTTATTACAGCATTTCAAATGATTTTCTTTTTCTCTCTTCAGTGTATGGGATGGGCTTGGTATCTCGCTAATGACATGCAATTCTACATAATCGCTCCCGCTATTCTTTTTATGGCATACAGGTAACGTGTCTTGACAGCTTAAATTCTATTGCACTTTTCTCTATTGTCAAGAAGCACGATAACATTTACTTTTTAACGTTTAATTTAAGTGAGAAAAAGACTACATCTAAATTGAAATGATTACAATTTTCTTTTTACCCTTTGCTCGGGTATTCGCTGCAAGAAAGTTATATTTCCTCATTGGTTTGCACGTGAAGTTATGTGACGACTCATTGTCCGTGTAAGAGAGTGGACTACTGTTCCCCAAAGTATTCGATCCGTTCCTAGACACAAATTTAAGGCCTCCTAACATGAGCTTCTTTCACCTTTTTTGAAATTGGAGGATACTGATATTGACACAACCAATTTAATACATAAATTAAGAAGTCTGCCGTAAATGTAAATTTAGTTCGTAATTTCGTAATATTTTCTTACATAGTTTCTTGTTTTGCTACTTTTTGCTTGAGGCCAAGTCTACGCTATACAGCGGACAGTTTTTCATGCCGATATGAAAAGCTATCCGATAAACGGCAACTGCACCGAACTGGAACGATTATTTTGTTCACACACATCGAACTTCGTACACGATTTAACCAGCACATCCGTGCTCCTAGGTGTTCTTTCTCCACTGATATTTTTCAGTGTGACGGGTGCCTGTTCGTTTCCTTTTGTATGGGGCCTCATGGCTGGGTTACGCTGTTGTGCCAGCCATGGGGGCATCCATACCCTGAGATAAAGGGTACCCGGTCCCCAAAAAATTTTTTTTTGGCCCTTCGGACCTCAGTTTGGTTTAAAACTAATCCGCCGTACCTAAAAAGATGGCGACTGGTTCATTTACCCACAGTTCTTAGCGCATGAAAACCATAAAATTGCTCATAAAAACGCACAGAAAAGTTTTATAAACTTCAAACCTGGGATAGGCAATTTTGCTATTACAGGGACGAATTTCGCCCCCCTCCCCCCCCCCAAATATGACTTTATGTGCAATTGGCCGTGTTAGGTTCGAAAGGAGTTGTGGTAAATGTACAGCCACCGTCTTTTTCCGTACGGCCGATTGGGAGGGGGGCAGGGCCCCTCCCCTGGATCCCCCACTGTAATTCATGTTGACGAAAGAGCTATCCAGTATATTGTGAGCATAGCCAAAGTTTTAGAGTGAGGTAAATTATGATTCTAATATAATGATTTGCATTTGATTCTTTAGGTTTCGTCTTGTAGGAATGCTGATTATTGTTGGTGTGCTTGTGGGTGCCAGTTTTATTACAACAGCCATTATATTCGCTCACTATGACCTTGCAGCCGTGCAGCTGGGAGCCGAAGCACAAGCTGAGGCGTAAGAGCTGTTTTCAGTGTTAAAGCCGCCCCTGGGGGTATTCCCATAAACTTTGAACCTTGACCCTACTTTAGGATGAGACAAACGAAAAGTGATACCCTATTTAAGGCTCGAACCTGCAAAAACTAAGGATTTCCTAATACTCTTAGGTGAAGTTCAGTTTTAACAGATTTGTCTCTCTTGTAGCTGGGCAGTAACGCACTTGAATTTTAGCTGATATAAAAATGGTACCCTATCTAAGGATCACACTGGGGACACAATGCCAACAAGTGCAAAATGATACCCCCTTTAAGAAAGGAGACCGTCATACCAGTCTATATGAAAAAATGATTCCACTTTTCTATTGTACAATGTTCCAGTTTGTAAGATGTGTTTGATTAAAAGACCTTACGTATAGGATCAGCTTAGAAATTACGATGACATGTTAGTCCATGTTACCTTGACTCTCGTAAGCCGGACACCTCTCAAAGACCAACAGTTAAGGCCGGTTCGGAAGGGGCAACGCTTCTGGCGTGATGACAAAACTTTTGTCGTCACGCAAGGAACCTTGACCTCGTTAGGGATAACTGAGAAATATCGTACGTAGAGGGAGCCTGTGTTTTCTTGGGCGAAGTGGGAAATTTCGAGGACTTGCGCGCGTGAGAAGAGAAAAGGAGAGGAGGCCTCCCCACCCCTGCGTGCGTTCCTCTCGCGTGGCCTGTAAAAAAGTAATAACCGCAGGCAAGATAAGAAATTTCAATATCCAATACACTAATGGCTCACAACAGTTTTGCGGATACCAGGTAATGTGTGAGTAATTTTGTTGTTGTAGGGCTAAAGGTATAGATGCTGGCTCTTTGACGTATGTGAAACCGTACTGTCGCATTGCACCGTACCTTGTTGGTATGCTGTTAGGATACATAGTTCTACACTTCAGGGACTGGAAGATGCCCAAGGTAATTAGTTCCTACAAACGTACATACATTACCCATTTGTTATTGCAGGTTTAGGGGAGTTTACAGGAGAAAACTCGCACCGGCGCGAGTTTCATACCGGGATGACTTTTTGATTTCGTATCGCGTTTACATGATGACTGGGTCATTCCATATCTCGTTATTTGAAGGTACACTTCATGTTGATAAAATACACGTATGACTCAAAATCGCAAAAATTACGCATGCGTTACCCGTTCCAGTCTACCGGCAGACCGAATTCACACCGAAACGGGTGGTCGTCTCGCGTTTACATGATACCGTTGCGAAATTTCGTACCGGAGTGAAATTCTCGCTCAGGTACAACAACCGCGCTGAAAAACCGCCGGGGTGACTCGCGCCGACATGACATTTTGTGGTGGTATCATGTAAACAAATATAGAGCCATGAGAGGGAACCGGAGTGAACTCGCGCCGGTGCGAAAGTCGCCCCGGTGTCATGTAAACACCCCCTTAGATTACTAAGGTAAGACAAATGTCCTGATGTGGCGGACTCCAGTTACAGTAAATTGAAACCCCGTTCGACGGACATCCGTCTATAATGGACAGTTTCGTATGTCGTGGCGAAAATCCCATATATTTTTTTCTAAAATTAACCTCCTTAATACGGACCCTTGCTCCTGTGTCCCGAGTCACAAACTCTCATATATAGTCAACCCCACTTTACGGACACTTTATATCTGCGCACTATCTATGACTCGATCTTACCAATAAAAACCGGACCCTAACGGCGAATGCCTTCCAATAGGTTCTGTAATTTGGACATCCGGGTAATACGGCACTAAGGCATGTCCCCTTAGTGTCCATATTAGGGAGCAACGACAACAGCGAGGGCACCGAGAACGGTAAAAAAGCAATAGGTTTAGATTGGCAAGAAAACAACTTTGCACGTGCATCACGCTTTTTTTGTACATTTCTTTGCCGTCACTGCTGCGCGACTACAACGTGAAAGTGCCTAATTCCACGTTTTGTCGAGGGCGGAAACACAAGACAACAGCTTTCTTTTTCTTTTCCTGAACTTTGATACAGTCCTTCAGAATTTAACTCCAAAAAAATGGCCAAATTTGACGAATTAAACGAGATGGAATAAGCGCGATAAAGTTTGAGGGAGGGCGAATTCACTTTTTAAGTGACGTTTTCGTAGCCATCGCCGTCGTCGTTGCTTAAGCTCGCTATTAACTGTGCTCCACTCTAGTAGCTACAATCGGTGTAAAAATGAGTTGAGACACTTCGCCCAAAACTGGGCTTTTTTACGTTTTATTAACTTCAAAAGGAGGAAATATTGCTTTCCTCCCCCATCCCCTCCGTGCAATGTTGTGCCCTTGTTCTAGCTACCTATAGAAAACAACAAACACCCCAACTTTGAATGGAGGGGACAGGGGAGGGGTGCGGATTCTTTTGTTCTCCGAAGTTACCCTAGTTAAGTACAATGTCTCAACAATTTTGTCGCTGATTGTAGAGCTGGTCTGTCTTGTGTAAAGGCGCCCAAGGGGGACAATTAATGCGGGCCAAATTATACTTTCCGGTGTACTCTCTCCGTAGTTCAGTTGTAAGAACCCCTCAGCGCCCAGTTTGTAACTCGCATCCTTTCCTGGAGTCACTGGTTTTTCATTGTTGTGTTTATATTTCACGTACATCCTTTATAACGTCTATGACCAGCAAGACTGAAAGTGTCCCGTTTGGTAATGATTTGGAAATATAACTTCAAATTGATCATCTTAAAATACAACTAGAATCCCGAAACTAATTAGTCTGCTACACAGCCGTTTTTATTGTCGTCACGCAACGAGGAGGAGCGTTGCGTGACGACACTTAAAACGGCTGTGCAGCAGACTAGAAACTAATAAGCTGACGTTCTGACTTTTCCAAGGTGCGTACATATATGTTCAATGTTGCTGGGTGGTGTGTTGCTATCGCTCTGGCTTTATCCACGCTCTACGGTGAATACAGTGCTGTGAGAAAGGACAATCCAAAGCCCTTCACTCGCGCCGAAAATATCATATACGGGACCTTCTCACGCTGCGCATGGGGCTTGGCACTAGCTTGGGTGATTTTTGCATGTCATCGCGGGCTCGGAGGTAGGTGTCGATTTGTTAGTCAGACTTGAGTTGGTTGCAGTCGAAAATCTCCTTAACATTGTTATTGTTACGGAAACACCCAAAGATTGTCTAGAGTTTTGTTGACTAGTGGACGTAGAATCTTTGGATGCACCTTTTCAGGAAAGTATCGGCATCTCATATAAGTACCTTAAAAATATCTGTAGATTTACTGCAGTAACGCGGGTTTAAGTACCACCTATTTGACTGCACTAGAAGAGTCTGCAGTGGATGCGGAAAAAGTGCATAACACTCTCGGGGGGTGGGGGACGTTTACTCCTTATAATTAGGGAGCTTAAGCAAAGGCGTTTTTGAGCGACGCACGTCAACCAGAAGTGAGGTCTTTTTCCTTTTTAAAGCACCTTGACGCTACCAAATTTGTATTTCTAGGTGTCTTTACTATTATACAGACGATTTGTCCATAATTTTGGGTCAAACCACCGTCCAAAAATGAAGAAAGGCCACTTCCGGTTGACGTTTGTCGCTCAAAAACGTCTTTGCTTAAGATCACTATTAGCTTTACCTGGAGGCTCCGCTCGAAAGGGGTACCTTTTTTAGGCCTCAGGTATATGAAAAGGTGACCATTTCACTAGTTGAAGTATATGAAAAGGGTAGGGAAATCTGTCATTTCGGTTTGTAAAAAGCCCCAAAAGGGAGACGCGTTTTATGGCTGTGAAAAAGTCGAGAAAACGTTGTGGTTTTGTGATTTTTTCATATTTAAAAGTAAGACAGCCGCATTTGACACCAGGTAAAAGGGATGTAAAGTTCCAAAGTAAGTATGTGAAAGGGGTACCATTTGTCAACAAAAGGTATACGAAAGGGGAACCTTTTCAGTCATAAATGGTTTTTTTAGAAGGGTTGGACCTCGGGGCGGTACCTTCCCGTTTAAAACGTTGTTGAGCACTTCTCCCCGGAAATACAATTTTCCCCTTACCAGCTTTTGGTTTGTGCCAGACATTATTTTGTAAAACAGAAGTTGGAATTATTTGGTGGACTTTGAGGAGTAAATTGTAACATATCAGCTGACTTTGAAGCATGTTTAATCTCATTTCAAGTAATTCTGTGGTTTTCTATTTTGTAGGTTTGGTGGACAAAATTCTGTCAGCTCATTTCTGGATTCCATTAAGCCGACTGACTTACTGTGCCTACCTGGTTCATCCTATCGTCCTGATCACATATCTCGGTTCCCTGGAGACTAATCACAACTACTCTGATGTCCTTATTGTAAGTAACAATTCTAGTGTCTTGAGTAAAACCTTTTACTCGAACTAAACATTAAACCTTGACTTGGATCCCTATTCGACAAAAACTCCCAAAGTTCTTTGGTATAATTCTGAAAAACATACAGCTCTTTGTGAAACAACTGCAGAAGAGGTTTCATTTAAATGGTCACACTCACAGACTCAAAGTTAGAACCACATACTAAAAATATAGTACCATGTGAAAATACTACAACAACAACGATAATTAACAAATTATTGGACGAGGTTGAGCAAAATATCGTGATTAGTCAGTGGCGAGCAGATCAATTATTTACCGAAGACGGAGGCTGAGGCAAATAATCGATCCTCGAGACACTGACAAATCACGATATATTACGATAACCGAGTTCAATAACTGTTTTATCATTCGATCACCAAGTTTTTTTTAATGAATTTCTTCGGGAAGCGAAGCAATCTGCCATTAATTTTTTCACGCACGAGCGATCGCAAGAAGGAGGAAAGCGTGGTTTCATTTACGCATGACCAGAGTATTATTTGCAGCCAGACACTTGCCAAACACAGTTGGACGACATTGCGCATGAGCAGACCATTATTTGTAGGCAGTTATTTGCAGGTCACTTGGTGGACTTTCGGCCAATAAAAAGAAGGGAAAATTTGCATCGAATGATCATGAATAATCTTTTTTTTTCCTCGAATGAGGCTGTATACAACAGTGATTTTGGAGGCTTTATTTATGATCTATTTACTAAGGGATTATTTGTGTTTTCTCTTTTTTCCCCACAGTCTTTCTTCTTTACTGGTTCGGTGGTCCTTTCATATGCTGCAGCCTTCATTGTTTCAGTGTGTGTAGAGTTTCCCATGATGCAACTGGAGAAACTGATTTTTAAAACCCAACGCTGAGCTCTGATGTCTCTTAGGTCTCTTTTTGGCCCCAGGCCCCGGTTGTTTAGGGATGGATAACGCTATCCACAAGATAAATCACCCTCCTGCGGATAAGTGTTAGGGAAACCAATTACCGTGTCCAGTGGATAGTGTTAGCAACCTTTTTAACAACTGGGGCCAGTCTACTTGGAAATTAAGCGATGTAAAAACTAATACACCAAAAATTCTTATGTGCTTTCCTCAAATAGGTCCTGTAGACACAAAAATGTAACGTACTGTTTCGCAAGGTGCGCACTCGTAGTAGCATAAAACCCCAATAGAGACCTTTAGATTCTGAGGCGAGAACGACTACGAGTATGAGATTTTCTCAATACTGAGTATTGCTCACGGATGAACCAGCGTCATTTTGGCGGGAAACCGTGATAGCGGTCGTCATTCTACTACGAGTTTTGGCGAGAATGTCGTAGTGGCGGAAACAAGTTATCAAATGTAAGAAGTTTTATCATTTTGCTATCGAGAGAGGGCTGAACTTCCTTCAGTATAAATAACCGTACTAACCTTAATGGTGAAAAAGAGTAAAATGAAGCTTTCCGAGGTGTCTTAAAAAAAAAACACACGTATAGAAAACTTTAGGCTAAATCTCGTACTCGTACTCCTTCTCGTCCTCAAACCTGAAGCTCTCTATTAGTTGAAAGCCACTTTTGACTCATTCCCTAGTATAACATGAAACTAGCGGGTATTTTTAAGGGTTGCCACAGAGATGTGTCTGATGAAAGATGTGTCTGATGAAAGCTCCACCTAGCGTGCGAGCAAGGCTGCCTCTTGACCCAAAATACCGTCTCTCTCGATGAAAATTTGCGCGCAAAAGAAGGCGAGAAGGAGAAAACTGGCCGGCGAGACTTCAAGTCTTTCTCCTTCCCATGGTCCCTTGCGCTTCGTCAACAGTGACTCGAGTTTCGCGTTCACCTCTGCAAAAAACGGGAAAACGAAGCGCCTGGCAGCCTTCGGGGAATATCTTGAGAGGCCACTCGAGAAGGATAGCTTTGATGTTCGCTGGCTGGATAAAAGCTGTACTAGATTTTTATGTTTTCCGGGATGCCCACTCACGAGAGCTTGAAGTGTAGCAAGAAATGTCCATTTTTAAACTTTGTTATGAGGGTGTCCTCTCACTTTGAATGGATCACTGCAGTCCGCAATTTCTCATCTCATTCCATTTATCTCCCGATGACTCTTTTTTGTGCAGCCAAAAGTAAAGAAACCAAAGAAGTAATAGAGAGGAGAAGTGTGACGTCACGTTGCCATGGAGAACGACAAAAATGGATAGGTTTATATTAGCAAAACAACAACTTTGCACTTGCATCACGCTTTTTTGTACATTTCTCATCCGTCGTAACTGCGACGGGGAACATCTTACTTTCACGCGTCCGCTCTATGGAGTTTGTGAACACGGAACATAAATTTTCCTTTTCTTTTTCTAAACTCAGATACGGTCCTTTCGGATTCAACCCGAGAAAATTTTGCCAACATTTAACAAACTAAATGAAACTGAATAAGAACGATGAAGTTTGGAACAGTACGAATTCACTTTTTAAATGACGGTTTTGGTTTGTTGTCATCCAGGCCCCGGTTGTTCAAACGTTGGTTAGCGCTATCCACCGGATAAATCACTATCCAGCGGATAGCGTAATTAATTTCCGTAATACTTATCCGCTGGATAGTGATTTATCCGGCGGATAGCGCTATCCAACGTTTGAACAACCGGGGCCAGAAATGTTGCTACCGTGGCAACGTGACGTAACGACTTCTCCACCCTATGAGCATTACAGTTTCCACTGACAACTACTAGTTAGATTTATGTGGTCATTGCTTTCTCGCCCAAGACAGAAGTTTTCTCATTGGGCTAGGTTTACACTAGATGAGACTTTTCCAGATTCAAAAATGTTTCCGGGTTTATTACATTGAGGGTACCGGTGTGTGCACTCGCAGGCGTTTACACGCGTTAGTTAATCGGAGAATATTCATTTGGATACAAAGTATTCTGAAATGATGAATGAACTTCATATATTTGAACTGCGAAATGAAGAAATAAACACAGACAAGATAGATCATCACAGTTAAATACGCAATTTATACAGTTGCGAAAAGAAAGCTTGAAAAACTTCACGCTTGCCGAGATTTGAACCCTGACGTCTGTGATACTGTTGTAGCGCTCTTAACGATAGACCTATTCGGCTAATTCATTGTTATACCCAATTCAAATCTCCCTGGGATAAGATTCTTTATGTATTGTATTTGCATTATAATGTGGCATTCACATTTAAAAGATATGGCAATTCCTTAAACAAAACGTTTTATTCCCAAAGGGTTTGAATTGGGTACAACATTGAGTTAGTCGAATAGGTCTATTAGGAGCTGGTTATTAAATTGTTTTAGAAAAAAAGTAACAAAGTATTCTCCTTAGATTCCGGATTTAAAATCTCCTGATTTAAGATTCACGTATCTCTGTGCGTAAACGACAAAAACGGTCTGGACAAATCTCCTCTAGTTGAAGCCTTGCTATGGTTTTTATATTTTAAGAAATTATATTATTTGCTTTTACAATAAAGGATTAAGGTCTCTTGGTTTTTCTAGAACCTGTTTATGAGATCATTTTAACCTGCCTATATTTCCTCAAAGTGATAAAATAATATGTAGTGTCAAGAAATTAATTTTAGTTCAGATAGCTAGGCGTTTCTTAGAGGTGCACGTATCGAATACGTTTGATTTTATTAAAACACAATCAATTAAGAAAGTATAAAGATCATACTCAGTGTTCATTGAGGTTTCTGACTTTCTACAGCGTAGTATGTTATCTCTCTTTTCGTAGTTTAGTCATCGCCTTCTTCATAAATAATGTACATAAAGTATTTAGAAAGGGTATCCAGGGCAAAAAAGGGAACTGTATCTGGGCTAAGAACAGGGGCAGATCTAGGGGAGAGGCCTGGGTTCCCCTCATTTTTAGGCCAGACTAGGGCCCTCAGGGTCAAGACATTGACTAACTAGGAACTGCGCTTGTATTCCTTAGTCTTCTATTTGAAATATTGATTCAGGGCCCGAAAAGTTAACGGGCTCTCTAGAAATGGCTTACTTCTAAGAAATCTTGCAATCGCTATTTTGGAAAGATCAAGAGGGAATTTAACAAATCGACCACAATTTCCCATAGTCTACACTCTTTTATGAAATAACCAAGATAGTACGCGCGTTCTGTTTGGTTAAATACCCATGGTTTATTGTGCCGGTAAAATCATAGTTTTACTTAAAGTTATTTTATAAAAGCAAAAGAGCACACTTTCTATGGGTTTACCGGCATGATAACCCACTTGGCATGTTGGGAGAACGCTCGAAAAGCTTGTAAATCACGAGCCGAAGGCGAGTGATTTACAAGCTTTTCTCATGTTCTCCCAACATCCGGTGTGGGTTATCACACCGGTAAACCCATAGAAACTATGGTCTATTGCTTGGTCGATTTTTTTTTTTACCATAACGTTTATTTTTGGTTTCCTGAGAAGTAAAACAACCAGCACTGCGTGACATGTTACGTCATTTCCGTGGTCTATACTCCCATAAACCATAACTCTCGACCAATCAGCGGGCGAGGATTCGCTCAGTTATTGTAAAAAATCTGGTTGACGTGCATCAAACGTCTTTGCTTTAGCTCCCTGTACCCTGAATTTCAGACGTCTTCTCGAGTCGAATCGAGGGAGTTTGCGACTCGAGGAGAGTGCTGAAAAAAAAAAGAAAAGGCTAAAACTCCTTGTTGAGTTTTCAACATCGGCTTTCAGGGGCGTAGCCAGCCATTTTTTCCTTTTAAGTCCGAGTTGTAAGATAGCAGCAGGCCGAGTTAACGTGAAGTTAGTTTCCAGAATTAAACAGAGGGAAAAAAAAATGAAAAACGTTTTACTAGATCAGATGCTATTTTTGGCAGGTAATCAGCTCTCCCGGCTTCCGCAGAGGCTCCCTCTTGGTATCCCAGAAGCCTCTGCGAAGGAGAGAGAGGTAATCAGAGTAAACAAAGAGGACCCAACCAAGTAGATCATACATGCACAGCCGATGCGTTGAATTAGTGTTAATTTTGAAATCAGTCTGCAGTTTCATGCACTGTTAAAATGCGATTACTTGAGCTCATTTCCAACCATTTTTTTTAAGCCCGGGCCTTTACTGGCTTAAGGCAGCTGGGCCCCTGGGTTTAGGTCCTGCCATTCAGCGAATATTTTTTTGCTCTTGTCCCAGCTTTCTAAACGAACCTCGCGAGGAAACGCTTGCTACGCAGGCTAGGAGGAAGATAGCAAAACCCTAGTAAATTGCCCGATCGTGATTGGGCGACTTTGATTGATTTTAGGACGTACCGTAACTTTAATATATTTAAGCAATAGACCACACTTTCTATGGGTTTACCGGCGTGATAACCCACTTTGGATGTTGGGAGAACACTCGAAAAGCTTTTCGAGTGTTGTCCCAACATCCCAAGTTTCCTATGAGTTTACCGGCACAATAAGCCATAGGTTTTTAACCAATCAGAACGCGCGTACCATCTTAGTTATTTTATAAATTACGATATTTTAGCATACAGCTATTATCTGTTATTACACTCTTTTTTTTTTTATAAGAATATATTTTATAAGAATATCGAGGCTGAAATTTGCGAAATTTTAAGAATATTTTAAGAATAAAGCCGAGGCTGAGATTTTGAAAAGGATAGATATAATTTTGTGTGGGAAACATCTGTAAATGCAATACAATTTTATGTTTTTAACTTAACCGTATAAAATTATTCCTTTCTCTGAACGGCGAAACTAGCCAACAAAACGAAAAAACCTGCACTAGCTATAGCAAAATGTTCAACGCTAATGACAGTTCGATGAACGGTACATGTAATACATATACATATACCCCAATAAATTCTAAAACGGAAATGTCATAAGCTATAATTTAAGAATAATACAAGAATATTTTCAGCCTAAAATCGGCAGAAAAATAAGAATTTTCAGCCTGGGCCGGAAAAACAACATTCTTATAAAAAAAAAGAGTGTACTCAAATTTGAAGCTTTCACTGGTATTTCCTTTTTGAAATAGCGTGACACACATATCCGTGACAATTTGTCACGTCCTCCTGAATGCATGTAACGGCGGAAGTCTAAGGTTTCTCAGGGTTTCTCTAGGACGATAGCAAGGCGGGTGCTTGTCTCGTTTAACTGCCTAAAAGCAGTTGTGTTAAAAGAAAGAAAAAAAATTAAAACAAATCATAAAAGTTCACAGTTCTTATTGATATCTACCAATTGAAGTTTTCAATAACTGATATTATTTCCGCTATCTTGTTGAACATCTACATACATGCACTTTCACAACATTTGGTAAAATAATTCACAATTATGATTGATACTTGATTTAAATGGCTGTAAAAGTTTATAACGTAAATAGATTTGTGAGATGTCTCCCTTTGAAATAAGCCTAATTTGAGAACTTGTTTTTGCCGCTATTTAGTTATTTTCGTTGTCATTTATTAAAGAGACTACCTCGTCCCCATTGTTAAGAGACCTGTGCCATTTTAGGGCCTTATTAAGTGGAAAAAAATAACGCCGTGTAAAAATGATTACCCTCCATGAAAGAAGTGGTCTTCTTGCTATGAACGTAAGGCTGAAGATGTTGTTGTTTGGTTCGATTTTCAGTCATTAATTTTATATTTTTGTAGAAATATTCGGAAACTTTGGGTTATGTCCTGTTTCGCCCAGGAACCGGAAAGGAACAATTTCCCGCGCCTATTGTTCAACTCGCGCTGTGATTGGCTTAACGGAAAAGTGCAAAATTCTAAATATTTTAATCACGTGAACCAGGTTGAGAGACAGTGGGACAGAATTTCACCTTGCTCCTACGTGAGGAAGTACACACAGCTTGTTTTTACTGAAAAATAACCTCATAATGGCTGACGAAGAAGCTGTGCTCAAGAAAAAGGTAAAGATAAGTCTTTTAATTTAAGCTTATGTGTAAACTGTGCGAGACGTTTTGGTCGCTCGCTCCCCTTGTAAACAAGAAAATGGACACATGTTGCTCGAACTACAAGAGACTGTTTCCTGTTGCTTTGAAAGCTGTGCTTGTTTACTTTCTTTTAAACTTTAGCCTTTTGAAGATAATAATGTGCTATGCTGGAGAACTACATGGGCTGTCAATCTTGAAAGGTTTTGTCGTTTAATTTTCCAACAGCTCGGTTGAACTTTTTGTTCATCCTGTCACCTTGACTTGTCAAGATCGTGGCATCACGTACGTAAACACCCTCGCAAGCATACATGCATATATTTTTTTGTTATTTCAATCAAGAAAAATTTTACACAATTTAAAATGGCAAAAAATTAATGATAATAAGAATGGATGCTTGCAATTGAGTGAAGGTACATTTGCTCACTACTGCTTTGTCTAACGAAATCAGCTTAATTTTGTCCCACTCTTCTCCGGTCATGTATTTTTTCCTGGATCTTTGATCTTGTTTTGTAATTAGCTTAAGGCTTATGTTTTGTGTGAGATGATTTTCCTTTTGTTAAAAATGCCTTGTTAGTAAAGGTTCTGTTACAATTATCTATTTAATTTTTTAAAAACTGTCGAGGAATTCATGGCGCGTGAAAGTTTCGCAGAGACCTTTAATTGGAAAATCAACTTCGTCTGGGCAACCAGTAATGAGTTGAAAATATTTGATGTCGGTCATAAACGACGAGGCTATTCAATATATATTACCGTAAATGATAAATTTAATTTAAAACAAAACGGTCTTCGCTACCATTAAGCTTGAAATTATATTTTTACTATCATTACAATGTTATCTCATACCCGCTGTTTTGTATAAGTTTACAATTTCTTCCTTTTTCACAAGGCATTTTAAATCACATTCTCACAGAAAATGTATTATTAAGGAGCATTGTATCGTTTTCCTTGATCCAAAATCAACAATTTTCTGCTAAAAGGATGCTCTTGTAAATATTTACAACTTGGAATGTTAAGCTGGAATGTGATATAGCTTTTGCATGTTGTCGGAAAGATCAAGACTGTATTGCAGTTTAGAGAAAATTTTTACTGACATTCATTTGAACTGCAAATTTGTTGTACATTGAACTTTCTTCCTTTCGCAAATGCACCAGCAAGTGCAGTTTCCGATCAACAGCTTCCAAAATCTGCCACAGCTAATAATCTTTTTGAAAAGTGAGACCATCATTAATTTGCTTATTAGGTAGTGTTTCGCTTCAGTTGTTTCAAATTTAATTACAGGGATAAAGTGGTACTACATTATGTTATAAGAAAGTTACTGAGGGGAAACATGTTTTCATTGTCTTTGTTTCAAGTGAAATAAAATTGAATGGAGATTCCCAGGATGGCTAATTTCGTTATGACATGGGTGGCGGAAGGAAAAAAATGGTGCCTTTGGCTAATTGGATAAATCACCTTCCAGATTTAATCTTCTTCCACAAAATAAAACATTGAATGACCCAAGCAACCAAGGTTTGTCTTTTGGGTTAAATCAGTTAAATTGTTTGTACCAGCTGTTTTTAAGTATCAAATAGGAACATTTTACTTACTGTTTGCGACATGTCCACCGGGATGTACATGTTCCATAACTCAGTATTTTTTATACTTTTCTGATCCAAACTATTTACCCATTTTTCTGAAGTTAGTTAACTCTCTAAGAAGAACAACATGATACCTTATGTAAATTTTGAGAACATTTTCTCCTAAGAATTTTCTGAGTATGAGCCAGCTGAAATTGCATTATTACATTTTTTGAAAACAATAATTGTTACTGATAATTTTTGCTTAATTATTAAGCAAAAATTATTATTCATTATTATACATTTTTTGAGAACAGCAAAACAAAATTATTATTCATCACTAAGAATTACAAAAATAATATACATAGGGCATTAAACCCTGTTGTAAACATCTATCTGGCCATTGTCCTTTCATCTTATACTGCATTTTTGTTACATCAATACAGAACAAGTTAAGACACTAGAACTGTTGTAACTTTCCTTATGTGAACAAATCAATTTTGTTATTGCAGAGAAAAGCTGAACTCGATTCTTTTCTTTAGCATTCTTGTTGCATTAAGTGTTGTAATACATGTTAAAGGGGACAGACAAGTGTTGTTGCTGGAAATATCTATAAGTTGTAACTGTTACTGACATTAGATTGGGTCCTGCCATGTTTGAAGTGTTGGTACAATAAACTTCTGACAAGTTACATGGCTTGAAAAAGCAATGCAAGACAATTGAAATGGCAAACAACACAAAGCTGGGTTGAATGAAATCCAGTGTCAATGATAACATAGTAGCGTAACTTTCTCTTTAAGGCACATTTAACTCACAGGTGTTAAAATTCAGACTAGGTACACATCAACCCCTCCCCCCACTCCAACTTCATTCTTTGTCCTACAATCAGGTACTCTACATATGAATAGCAAGGTTTAATTTCCTTTGTTACAACATGCCTTTATTTTTGCTAGTTGGAAGATACCACAGACTTCGATGAAAGGCGAGCAATCAGGCAACAGCTGAGGGACTTAAGAAAGAAGAAGCTTGAAGCATTAGAATCTAGCACAACTGCAAATGACAGAACGAGAAGAAGGGAAAGGGTGAAAAAAGAAGAACAAACGACCGTCATAACGGAGACAAAATCCACCCAGGATTCATCACAGCCAGGAATCCAAACCAAGATAGAAGTGAATTATTCACGTACAACTGTTATTAGTGATGGACCCTCTGAAAATGGTGTTGAAAGTGAACCTAATGAGAGTGAAAAAACTGTTGAGGAAGAGTCTGTTTCTGTTGAAAATGAAAATTCTGTGGAGAAGCCAGAGCCGATGGAAAATGGGACTCACTTTAATGTGCAAGTAAATGGTGAGAAGAGTCCCAAGGAAGAGGAGGAGTCTGAACAAGTAGATTCTAGCCCTCAAGAGCCGTCAACACAAACTGAAACTGTTGAAACTTCTGAATCAGCTGATGCTGAACCTGAAACCAAGGAAACTCCTGAAGAGGCTGAGAAAGATCCCCCAGAGGAAGAAATGGAAGAAGTTGAATTAACCCCAGAAGTTGTAGCGAAAATGGAAGATGTTGATATGCTGGAAAAACTGGTAAGATTGTAACTGCTAATTCCTGTACAGCTTATTGTTGCTTGTGTTGCTGTACTAGGAAGTACTTCTTAAGAGAGGCACAAAGCCAAATACTGTACAGTTGAATGCAGTTAATAGTGTGACCAACATCGGGCCATAAAATCGCGGTCGAAATAATGAAGTGGTTGTATCAGTGAGTCTTGAATCTGATAAGGTGACCAAGTGTTTTTTAGTTTGGGTTAACTAACTTTTTGGTCATATAAATAAGGGTTGTCATAATGCGTGTTCTACTTCAAGTACGTTTTGCATTGCCTGTACTCTCCTAGACTGTAGAAGTGATAGCAGATGTTCAGTACTCAAATGGAACTAAATGAGTGTATTTAACCCTTTAAGCCCCAATGTCCACAAGCAAATTCTGCAAACTGATCTCTATACATTTCTTTAAAGATTAAGTTGAGAGAGTTTAATAAAAGATCAAGGCATTTTCTCTTAGGTGATCATTTAATGAATTCTCATAACCTAATCTCTTGACATTGTATGGATATTGTTAGGAGAAAATTGATGTTGGTCACTATTGGGACTTAAAGGGTTGAATGATACAGTTAGTGTGCAAAAAGAACTATGACAGTGAGTAATGTGGGGATCATGGTTTGGTTGTGCAGTTGTAACAGCCATAGGGGTGTTATTCAATCTAGGGGCTGGCAGCCAAAAGCTGGAAGCCTCTGCATAGTCCAGGCACCCACTCTGTATCCAGCGGTAGAGTTGTTAAATGTATGTGGTTGATAAAAGGGATGTAGCAGGCATTTGCTGTGTTGCTGTGTTGTTTGGTCTTAATGTATGCGTTATAGGTCGAAATTAAATTCAAGTTACAGCAGCTTTTTTGTAACTTAGGTTGATTCTCAAGTTCGTTTTGTATCCTAGGGATAGGAGACAAAGGAAACTGAGAATCTACCAAGGTTAAAAAAAATTTTAGCTTGAATGTAATTTTGACTTGTAAAGAGGGTTTTTAGGCACCTTGAAAACCCTTGAATTTTAGAGTCCTTTTTAAAGGGCTCAAAAGTCCTTGAGATTCCTCTTCATTCATTTTGGTCCTTGAAAGTCCTCATTCCAAATTTTAAGTGCGGAAAAAAATAGTACTTTATTTGAGTGTCAATGTATTTAGCGCAAAAGTGCTAATTGGGGACACTATATGAACATCTCCTACTGGAGACGGGACCACCATTTTACGTGGTCATCTGAGCCACGTCAAGGTCTAGCCATTTGCAGGGCAAAAGTAGTACCTTTCATTTCTCAGTTATTTTAAGACCCTTAGTATTGGTCCGACCCTGGGAATTGAACCCATGACCTCCCGCTCTGCAGTCAAGTGCTCTACCAACTGAACTGATCCTGCCGCGGTTAAAACATTTTCAAACCTCAAAAAAACTTTGGCAAATTTATACATATGTACCATTTTTGGAGCCAACAGAATAAGACCAGCATTGAGAAAGTGGAAGTCAGGTATGGGCTCACAAACAAATTTTCATCTAAATGTGGTTATTACCCGGACATATTAATCTGTAGTTTTATTACTTGGAACGTATGTTAAAAGACATAAATTAGGTCTGTGACATTTAAAAATGTGGTCCTTTGAAGTCCTTGAAAAGTCCTTTAATTTTATATGGAAATAAGTGTACAAACCCTGTGTAACGTACTTGTACATGTATGCACTGTTAGAAAGACAAAATAATTATTGGCACAGGCTCCTTTATGAATAAATTGAGGCAATAATGGATTGCATTCTTTTCCTAAACATTACTCTTCCTCTTGTACACAACAGCAAATTTTTATGTTTGCTTGTTTTCTTGTGAGTTTTTCCATGTCTTCAGTTACAAAGCAAATAATTTGGTTATTTTTTGGGGATGGATGCTTGATAGAAAATAAAGTTCGTTCCAAAAATATTTACCTAATGATGTTTTTTGTTTGATTCTAAAAGCTAAAAGAAGTTCCTCTCAATGAATATGAGTTACGGAAGGCAATAAGACTTCAGATAAGACAAATGAGAGTCAAGAAAGGTTGGTACGATTTATTGATTATTATACTTTAAGGCTTTGTATTCAAAGAAACCCCTAGTGACAGTGACTTCCCCACGTGTTCCACTGCTAAGGTATGTCTCCTCTCAATGTTTGCCTTTTAGAAGGGGGAGAATTTGACTGACAGATTTAGATTTGCTTAATAGAAGGGCCCACAAAGCAAAACTGTCAAAGTGAATAATACGTCTGAGCTAATGCAGATGCAAGTCAGCGCTGAGGTCTACATGCCTCCATGCTGACATGTGTCTGTGACGTATGCGAGTGGCTCACTTAGTTCTGGCCTGCACTATACCTTCTTTCTTGGAGGTCTCAAGTTGCATAAATAATTTTCTCTATACATGTTGCTGATCAGTGATGTATATTACATATAAATGTGTTTAAACTGCAGCAACCCAAAAAAAGTCTCGAACAACACCCAAGTTCAATGCTGAGGCCTCTGCACCTAAGGGAATGAGGTTAGTATGGGTGTTGAGTACAATGGTTTATTGTTACTAATGCATTTCTTGTCTTGAAAACTTTTATGTTCACAGAGAAAAGCAAAGAAAGCAAAAATGTATCAGATCTCGGAAATGTGAAACAAACTAAACATGATAATGAACCGGGAGAAGACCAGTTTCGTGGCATCATGCCCTCTGGAGATGAACCATCTGAAAAAATTGAAGCACAAGATAAGACTTTGACAGGTACTGACAATCAAAATACTGACACAGTGGAAAGTGACTGTGATGTAGATGATTCTTCATCCACAAAATCCAGCATAACATCAGAAAGCCCTTCTGAATCAGATAACCCTGGCAAGCCACCTCCTAGGCCACCACGGCCAGTAAAGACATCAAGTGCCAGCTCAGCATCAGAGCTCACTGGAGACTTTAAAAGTAGAATTCTCGGGAACCCTTCAGGACCTGCATTGAGGGATCTCTCTAAGAAAGGAAAACCGTCTGGCCCAGTGCAGGTAGATTTCCGAAGTCAGCTGAAGAAGACTGGTTTGAGAGCTGATAAGGACTTGACTGCACAAGGGAAAAAGCAGCAGCAATTCCTAGGAGGAGACGTACGTGGAAAACTTAAGGCAACAGGTGCTGATCCATCAAGAAATCTTTCAGCAGCAAGAGTTGTTGGTAAGAAACAAGAAGGCCCTGTAAGGGTTGACTTTAGAGGAAATTTAAAACAAAGCGAAACCGTTGATGGAAAAAAGGTACCACCTCCACGGCCCCCTCCAACATACTTAACAAAAAAAGCTGAAGCCGCAAAGAGCCAAGCAACCAAAGACTCTACTTCTAAAGAAGAAGGCACGCCTACTGGAAGTTCTGAAAGAAGAATTTCCAGTTCAGACTTGTTTAACATGCTACACAAACCAGTAGAGAGTTCGAAAGAAGGCTACCTCGTGCAACGGGGTCTTAAAAAGGCAGAGGGGTCAAAAACTGTATCACAAAAGTTTGTCGCACCGACAGTAGATGCTTCTAAGGAGGATGACAAATTTAAGGCAAGAATGGCGCAAAGAAAAGAAAGATCGGAGAAGCATTTTCCTCCTGGGAAGGGCTCCAAAACTGACAGGAAGATGTCCGCAGGCGTGGAAACTAAAGATTTTCAATCCATTCTAAAAAGAGCTGGTGTACAACAGCCAAAAACTGTTGATGAAAGCGCAGGTGCTGACTCAGAGAGACGGCCAAGTAAAGGGTAAGTTTTGCTATTGCTTGCAATTTTCTTTTTCAATTTATATGTGTTGCGATTCTTTCTGCATGATGCTTATGACTTCAACTTCAATTTCTCTCCTATTGATTTCCTCTTTTCTTCCTTTATCTAATCTCTAGAGACCCTGTCTTCAAGTTTGTCTGGCATCAAGACTTCTCTATGCTTTTATGTATTAATCTGTAGAAATTCTGTAAATTTTCAAAACTGTAAAAATTGCTGTATCAGAACATAAATTTAGGGTCTTTTCTGTGTAGGTTACAATGTCCTTAAAGAAACCAAAATTAATTATATGTATTGAGCTGGATCTAAGTAAATTCCTCTGAGAAATGGATGATTCAGAAACTTCCACACTTCAAAGTGCAGTGATAGAGACCAGAAAGCAAAGTCTGAGTTTTTTCAATCTTGTCAGTCAACCTGGTTCCCAGGTTCTCTCCTACCCTCTCTCTCACTCCATAGGAACAGGTAGGAGAGGACCCTGGAGACAAGGTCATCTTGTCAGTTTGTATGAAGGACTTTTTCGAGAGTAGAGATTTGTCAATTTTGGAAGACTAACAACATCTGTTGCAAAAACATTAACTCAGTTATATTTCTTTTGCCTCTTATGGAGCAACCCTTTCATATTGAGATGTAAATTCTCATTTTGTCCCAATGCTTTGTCTCTGATGATGAAGTCTGCACTTCTCATAATCTCTTTAATTGAGAAATTTAGACATTACCAGGAGAAATGACGTATACTGGGATTTCAAAGGTTGCAGTCTTTTTTCGCCTTTTGTGATTTAGGATAATTACTGGTGAAGCAAATTTGATCTTTCTAACACAAATCATTTGCATAGTTTTCTATGTAATGTTGCTTTGTGCTGACACATTTAGGCTATCAATCACCATAAAATTGAGTTTTCAATTATGTAGCCATTGATCAGTGACTGTGAGAGAAATATTTCTGAGGCTCAAATTAAAACATCTGGCAAACTTTTTTTAGACACTTAATGAGTGGAGAAGACAAACATTTACCTAATGATTCAAAGCTTTAAGTCAATCATAGGTTAAAAGCACTAATTGTGGTGTAATAATGAATTTATTGTGAAGGGAAATGAACAACAGCTGAATAAATAGAACTAAAAACCAAAACAGGTGTCTTGAGTGTTTATTCATACATTGTACATGCATGCAGATTTCATTAAGATAACAGAAAATGATACAAAAAGAAACTATTCCAGAAATGTAACAAAATTAAACAGAAACTATTCCAAACATGTAATGAAAAATGAAGTAAAAACAAATGAAAACTATTCCAAAAATGCTTCATTAGTGATCAATCAAAACTGAAATAAGTGATTTAGTGACTAATTGAGTCCAAGTCCAAACCTTCAATTTAAATGATAACCTTTTGTTAAGAAAGGAAAAACTTGTGTTGAAACACACAGCACACTATAAGACAATGTGTAATAATAAGGCTGCAAACTACAGCTTCATCTACTTTCTTGGGAAAAAAATGTTAAACTTTCCATAAAATGTTTTGTGTCCTGTGAAGAACAGTTTGAAGGGAAGCTTTGTTATGATTCATGACCTTTTGATTGTCATTGAAAGTTTTAATGAGCATCAGAGATAAAATCTTCTATTTCAAACTGATGTCTTTAATAATTTGTTTTAGTTTACTGTCTTGTCTGTTTTATTTCTCTATCTACAATGGTCATTCTTTCCTCCAACCTTTCATATCTTTGCTTTGCTAACAGCCTAACCCAAGCATTTATAGTATTTGTCATGTTTTATGTGAGTGTTTTAATCAAAACATGCTTAACAGGCATTCTCAACTATGTTGTCCATTTTTGGATGTTTTTGTATCTATTGTGTTTGAATCTATTTTGTATCAAAGTCAATTTTAACCCCATACATGTAACTCTTTGAATTACTCTTAAGTATTAAATATCTTAACAACCGTTAGAAATTTCAGTTTATTACACTAGGTTATACCCCTCCCCACAAAAAAAAAAGAAAATGAATTTAAAAATGCAAGTCATCACTCACCTTTCTTATTCAAGCAAATGAGCCTTATACAGCTGTATTGAAGCAAGTAAAATTCTTCTAGTATTGAGAGAAAATTAATTAGCTCAATATCCTACTGGGGTAGTTACACAGGTTATGCAGTTTCCTTGAACTTAATCTTTTCTAAAAAAATCCTTTGTGTATAAAAAGAGCATACTCTTTTTGAATTTTTGAAAAACTGATGTGATGCATGGATTATTTTGACCTTATGATACAATATTTTTTTAATAATAATTTTTGGCATTGACCAATCCTTTTAGTTTTTGAAAATGTTTGATTGTTGATAATTGATATTTATATGCAGTCAGAACTGTTTTGTTTTGTCTATGGCTCATCCAGCTTCTCTTTTGTAACAGGAGTGAAAGATTTTCTGTGGACATTCAAGACAAAAATGAACTTCACAAGTTACGAGCCGATCTTCTTCGCGAAAAGGAACAGAAAGACAAGGGTGCTGTTACCAGGTCAACAGAGAAAAGCACTGAAGTTGAAGAAATAGATAGTGGAAAAGTGACCAAAGGAGTCACAAAAACCACTGAGGTTCACAAGCAAGATGGGGTCACAACAACAGTGACTAAGACAACTAAAACAACAGAGATCCAAGGAAGAGGTTAGTGGATATGCCTACTTCAGGGGCACCCAATGATAGTTTCCTCCTAAATGCACTGAAAACACTTTTAAGCTATCCAGAGTATTTTCAGATCTCTAGAAATGCATTCCAAGCGGTACTATAAAATTTGTATCTGTTCAGTCATCCTAGAGCAACTTGAGTCTTTTCGAAATTACAAGGGCCTCAGTATTATTTTCCTGAAAATTTTAAGTGCAATTTTAAGTTTTACAAAAGTGAGAATTTTTCTGATCCCTCTCTCCATCACATTTTCGAATCCAAAAATTTTAGGTTTCTTTTTTCTTTGAAAAATAGGTTTAACTTGGGAACTGAAATGCAAAAAACTCAAGAAAATCGTAGGGAATTTGTTAGATATGCTATGAAAATTATACATGTGACACAGAACCGTCATCTAGAAATTTTTAGCCTTTCTCAAGCTATAGAAAATTCTACACAATTTTTGCTTCTCCAAACAGATATTTAACAGAAAACAGTTGTTTGGTGTCCCTGTTGCTTCTTTCCTTTGGGACCCAGCAGTTACATGTAAATCTTGGGTTAATTGCAAAATGTTAGCACCAGGCATTGATTTTAAACTCCGGCAAAATTGATTTTTGGATAGTGCACAGCCTTGATACTAAAGTACATGTTAAAGATCAAAATCAAAGTCAGGTGAAGACTATCATTTGACCTACGTTGATTCTCAATATTTCTTTTATTGTTCCCTAGCCCTAAATCGCAAATGATTAGGGCTAGGAGTAGAGAAACTTAAGAATCAACCTACTTCAGGTTAAAAATTTCAACCTGAAATTAATTTTGACCCATAACATACACATGTGCATACAATGAAAAATAATGTAAGGATCCTTGGAGGTTTTGCCAGAAAAGGAAGAGAGGAGAGGGGAGAGAAAGTAACAGGAAAATGTTGAGGGAGGGGGAGGGCGGTAGTTAAACTCTTTTATCCAAAAAAGTAACACAAAATTATGCCTTAATTTACCAATTTAGCATCCGGAATTAAAGCCAGCGTAGTGCCTGACTTGCAAACATTTTTTGGACAGTTTTGCTTTTTTTTTGCGGGATAAGTTGACCAAACAAAGTAGCTTAAATAGTTAGAATAATAGAATTTATTTGTCCTGGAAAGGTCCTATGTACATTGTATCTGAGCTGCGTCATATTATTTGTTTGCCTTAACTTTCTTTGGGAAGTACTGGCTTGCACATGTAGTTACAAACAGAGGTGATAGAATATAATATTAGTTTTGAACTGTGAAGTATGTGTGCTTAGTTGCAGTTTGCATTTGTTGTTAGAATCCAATAGCAGGTGTTAGACTTAGCTTTACATAAACCTCGTTGTAACTGAGTTTTTTTTGTTAGCAGTAAATTACTGACAGTATATAGCCCTTGTGATAATATTGGCCACTAAAGATAGGAAGTTAATGTCTTGATAAACAGTAATTCTAAAATTATTATTAGGGTTTAGAATTTAAAAGTTTTTTTTCATTCTCTTGTAGATGACCTAGGATTAATAGCAAATTAATTATTAATACCATGGGTGAACCGAAATCATATTGTTAGTTATTCCTGTTTTCTGCCCTCCTGTTGAGTGTATCATTTTCTTTTTGTGTCATAGTTTAATTTCTTAATGTTTTTTTTTGTGGGATTAAGAGCTTAAGAGTGTCAGATTTTTAAGGCACTTTACCCAGATTTTTTCAACTACAGCTGTTTCAGTTTTCATTTCTTACCTCTTAAGTAATTCCCAGTGCAAAATCTCTTCATATAAGTTCATAACATTTTTTAGTGTTGATTGCAGTACTCTAGCACATAAATATTTTACATTTGTTTAACAGTGCTCCAGTGAGAAATTATGTTGATAATTAATCATGTTACAGTGTTCATCAGAGACTAAAAAAAATTCTTGACAATTTTCTTTTGTTCTTTAATCTTCTTTCTGTGGGGGTGAATGAATTATTAAGTAAGTCTTTGCTGAGAGAAAATAGCCCTGTAAATAGAAATGACTGTTTTCTGCTGATACTAGTTAACTAATGTTGTCAGAACATCTCTGTTTAGAGAATTGGCACCTATGTTCATAAGGCAAACATTTTCTTTGAAAAGAAATTTGAGGCTAACTTTTAACAGGGGTTGTAATTCTTTTACTACAAAGTTCATAAGCCCCTAGGCTGGTAGGTGAGTTACATTGCTTTAAAGCCTTGAATACTTTGTATTACCTTGAGGATAATATGACTTGATAATGCTTTCAAGATGATTTTATTTTTCTGGGGATTTTAATCAAAATTGTCTGAATCCTGACATCATTAATTTTAAGAAGTTCCCTTTTACGAGAATCCCTCCCAAAGCTATATATCTTGCAGTCAATTTATTTATACATGAGATTGCTTAGCTACTAACTTTTAACCATACCCCATGTAGTACTTTCAAAGATTGCCTACAGTGCCATACTGATGAAATTTATTTTTTTCTTCAGAAGCTATGTACTTTAAGTAGGTTTCATTTATTACATGTATCTGGGCAATACAATTTCGCTGCTCAGACTAAAGAAACACAATGTGTTATGGTATATGGTAGACTTTTTGAACTAGTTATTAATTTTTCAAGTACATGTAACTATGGTTTTTTACCTTGGATAGTGAAGGTGTTAATGAAGAGTTAGTGCTTAGTTTTTCTTTCATTCAGCGGTGATGATAAGATATATATATTTTTGTTATCAAAGTTAAGGTTGTGCATTATAATCTTTTTCTGTTAGATTATTGATGAAAAGTGCAATAATTGTACCTCTATGCTACTCCTTGAATTATGAGTACATTTTGTATATAATAAAATAAAAAATATAATAAATGTTTTTTTGATAACAAAGTTAACTATAAAATCTTATTTATTATTAATTTTGCTTTAAATTGTAATAATAATATTAATAATAATAATAATAATAATAATTGTTTACCCTTGGCAGTATTTATAGCACAAAGGCTAGTGGGGCCAAACAAATTAGCGTCTGCAGCAAATGATCTAAATAAGATGGTGAAGAATCCAGTTTGCTGTTTACAAGCATGATCAAGGATTTGAACTCAGAACTACTGCAAACAAATTTAGCTAGCAATCAGGGCAGGAATTGAACCCAGGCCTCAAGAATGCAAGTCCTGGCCCTGGTTGTTCAAATGCTAGATAGTGCTATCCACAGGATAGATCACTAGCCAGCAGATAAGTATTTATCCATAGGATAGTACTATCCAGCCTTCGAACAGCCAAGATCAGCACTCTAACCACTCAACCATGCTTCCTTCTTTTCCTTATTAGGGAGAGGAACGTCAATTGAAGCAATGCTAGCACAGAAGAAAAAAGAAAGAATGATGGCCAAGAAACAGCAGCAAGCAGATACAAGGAGCAAAAGGATGGCTTTTAAGGAACAATTGGAAGCTCAGTCACCAAAAGTGTATGTGTTGAAACTCCATCTCAGAGCTCCAATGCAGCATTGCAGCACAGTGTTACATATGACATACTTATCAATATATTTCCTTGAATATGTGACTAGGTGCTTATTTAAATTTTTTGGCAGAAAGTGGGCGGGGGTAAGAAGAATTATTAGCTGTCACAAGTTCATTCTAGATGCGGTGACTAGAATCACTGCAACCTAGGCTATATTTTTCCATTTTTTACTATGTGCATTTTGCTCACCCGTGACATTTTTAATGTGACATATTTTAGTGAAGGAAGTGGACGCAGCTTCCAGACTGGAAATGCTGCCATAAACTCTCTGCAGGAATGGTGTCGCCGAAGAACCAAATATCATGAGGTTGGTCAATATTATGTACACCATGCTGTAACTAGTGCTGCCTTGATTATCCTTGAATATGTTGTGGAAGATTTACATATTCACTTAGTAATTACCATATATAAGTGACATTAATTGGTGTCCTCCATTTTTGCCGTGTTTGTTTATAGTCTCTTTCAATAATATGTCATATGTAGGCAAAGTTTCGCAGTATGTTGTCGAGTGATACAGTCGGCAATCACAGCGACTAACATTCTCTCTTTGGTGACTAAAAATTCTGGTGTAGTTGCCACTTTGGTGACCAGATTTCTATATGATTTAGATTTAAATTAAAAGGGTAATATTAAAACAAACATTTCATCTTATCTTGCTTTGCTTTTGTCATAAAAAATGTGCCAAATCGCATAAACAAAGCCAGTTTTCCTCCTAATTTATAGCAACTTCTGTCTGTGATATTTTCAAACAATCAAATCTGATGGATTGCGCCATACTAGCTATTAGCTGTGTCATTGATATTATACAAACTGGCGACGAAAAATTTGCATATCAGGCGACTGTATTTCTCCGTTTGGTTGCAAAATGACAACTTGAGGATTTTTTAAATTTCGATCAAGTCGTGGTATAATAATACCAGGACTTTTATAATTTATTATTATAAACAGGTTTTTGTCCTATCTCTCATTGATCACTCTCATTTTCTTTTACAAATTGTCAAGTAAAGGTGTGTCCTTGCAACATAAACTTTGATTTTCGTAGGTCTTTATTCTGAATGTGTGTTTTCTTAACTTCAGATTTTCCCGTGTTTTATTTGTATACAGTTTGCTGCTCATGAGTTTATACCAGTGATACTTTATATATATAGTGATTCATTTCTGCAGAGTAAATAAGATAAAAATACATTTACCTTTAACCACAATGGTTAAATGTTTATTTTAGGGAGTGGAAATTCAGAACTTTTCCTCAAGCTGGGCCAATGGACTTGCTATGTGTGCTCTGTTGAATTACTTTCTACCAGACAAGATACCTTATGAAACTCTCAATCCTAGCGACAAGAGAGCAAACTGGGCTCTTGCCTTTAAAGTGGCAAAGTGAGTATTTTATTATTTATTTCTTCGATATATAATTCATAGAAAGATTATTTTTGGCTCTGCTGTCACTCTGATGTAGTTAACTTTTTCAGTCAAAATAAGTTTGATTGAAGTTTCTCTCTGTCGCTTCAAGTCTGTGAGTGAAATTCTATGATACTGCCATTTGAATGAACCTCTTGTTGGCTAGGTTCACACTAGAGGAGATTTTTACACATTCTTGACAAAAAGATTTAAACTTTCATCCATGATTTATTTCATATACATATATATATTGGTAAATGGCTCGACTGTATTTTAGCAAAGGGCTAGACCTATTCGTGGTTCAATTGACCACAAGATGGCAGTCCTGTCTCCAGAAAAAAAAAATTGTCCAGAATAAAACAGAATAAAAAGAATAAAAATGTTGATTACGATTGGAGCTTTGGAGATTAGAGCTCCAGAATTAAAAATATTATCCTTGATTGGAGCTTTCATGCTTAATATAATTGTTATTGACACGTGAATGAAGTTTGTTTTCTGTTTAGTTTGTTTTTTAGTATTTTGATACTATTTGTTCCAGTACATGAATCTGAAATAAGAACATGCCACTTCACTTGTGTATTTTTTTAAAGTGACAACATTGTATCTAAATAAAATTAATATTTCCAGATTAACTGATTTGTAAAAAACACTTGTGAATTTGAATACTCTACATGTACGTGTAATAAACCCAGAAACCTCTATGAATCCAGAAATTTCTCCTATGGTGGTAACCCAGCCTTTGTAATTTGTCACTTTTGAAATGAAAGGTATGCAAAGATAACCAAATCAGTGTGGGTCAGTGTTAACATCTATTCATGGGGGGTGGGGTCCAGGGGAATGCTGTATGCTTTTGGTTTTTAGTTTGCTTCCTTGTTTTCCCTTTCCCTACCCCCCACATTCTGTGTACTGAGGTGAGTTTTGTTTTCAAATGACGTTTTGACAGGTGCCTAAAGATTTTAACTTTTTAAGTTGTTTTGATGCATGCGAAATTAACTCAGTTTAATTTGCTGTTTTAGTGAAGAGGGAATCGAGCCATTACTGGAATTGGAAGATGTTATGGCATTAGAGAATCCAGAACCTAAGAGTCTTATCACCTACGTCCATTTTATTTATCAACACTTTAATGAGAAACAGCAACAGCAAAAGAAGGCATAGATCCTTGACTCCTGGCAAAATATTGACAACATGCATGGAATCCATTATGAACTTCTTGTAATGAGACCACTGTTATTAGTATCCTTTTTGAGTCAATGCAATCCTGAAGCCATGATCTCAAAATGCAGATATTTCATTTTAATAGCTTGTAGCAAGGTATGAAAGAGTTTGCTTTACAAAGAGACTGTAAAATGTAGAAATATACATATGTAGTATAGAATTAACATTAAATTTGACGTCAGGGTATGCAGAGTTTATTTCCTTCAGCCCGACAGCCCATCAGCAATAACAGTAATATCTTGTTGAGCACCATTACAAAGTCTGTGGGCCAACATCAGTGAATTAATTGTTGGCATAATATATCCTTTCTTAAAAGCAAACCTGGTCCTTCTAAATAAGTTAAGTTTCTCTAGTCAGTATGGTAGCTTTTGTATAATTAATTGACGCGGTGTGCCTTCTTCATTTAACTTATTTCAATGGCACTTTAAGCTAAGTAAGTTTGCACCAACTACAATTTATCACGGTGCTTTTTGGCTTTTCAGTTTTATCATAATGGGACTTGAAATTTGTTATTTTTTACATATTCAGGAATTTTTCACTGGTGCACTGATTACAGTGCTTTATAGGGTTTGTAGCTAAATCTAACACCTAGAATCAAAGTTATGCTCTTTATAAAGAATTTTAATGCTTAATAATTTCTCATGTTACCTGTGTGCTGGTGTGTTTTTCACATTGCAAATTATGTTTTATTGATGCTGATTTTTTGATTAAATTATTATAGTTTGATAAGATGCCGACCTAGGTATCAGAAATAATAATTAATTATTAATTTTTACATTAATTTTTCGAAAAACTTATATCAAGTATCAGTCATTATAAATTTTTATAATATTATTTTAGTGCAGCTTGTTTCAAAAGTCAGAAAACCAAGAGATGGAATATTTTTCCAGTTGTTTGTTTGGTGATGGAGTGAAATGCAGAGCATTCAGCTCATTTTTTCTATCAGAATTTTTAATAGTTGCAAACACAGGTTTACCAAAGTTTTACATAAAGATTTGTCCAAATTTCTAATATTGACAAGGTTAGACCAAAACGATGATTTGAGTGATGCACCTCGACCAGATGAAGACTTTGCATTCTTGGGCAGTTGTTTGGATTTTAGTGAAATGGTCACTCCTTTCTTTTCAAACAAGAAAAAAACAATAACCAGCATTTACTGGAGTGTCAGGAATGTAGATAACTCCTAGGTGATACTCCGGATTTCAAGTAACGGGGAAGATTGAAGGATCTTTTGGCGGTTCGAAATTTACGATTCCGGAATTTTTTCGGAAAGGAAAATTTGGCAAGTATTTTTTTGGGTGGCCTCAGATGGTATGATGAAGAAACAAACACAAACATTGAATTTCTAATGTTTTTATTTTTTGCGTTATATCATTTAATGCCTTCTGGAAAATTTTTAGGCTCGGAAATTCTGCATGTGGGTTTTTTGGGGTCCATTTTTGGTTCAGGGATTTTTGTGGGTTTTTGTTGGGAGCCCTAGGGATATTTTTGGGTTTTCATCCCTGTCACTTGAAATTCAGAGTACCCCCTGGGAGATAACCCTTAATTAATGTCAAAATGGAATCAATCGACTCAATGAATTGTTAAAATACCTTTCCAAATACAATTTTTTAAGTTAGCAGTACCCTTGAAAATAGTATTATTATTGACCAGAATTCTTTAAGATTTATACACGAAACTAAGGAAATTGAAAATTTTAAATGATCGTTTCAAGAGAGCAATTTTATGACATATTTTATCAGCGCAAAGAAAAATTACATTGGTCAGGTTTTTGAAATATCAGTGAATTCTATGAAGGTAGTGTCCACATGGAATCGTATTATTACAATAAAAGTTTAAGTTGTTAATTTTATACTTAAATTTAGTGGTTCTCTTTCAGCAATGCCCCTCCTTTGAAATCATGTAACTATTTAGGGAAATGTTGTGTGACAATTCTGGGTGAGTGATTAGGGATGTTTCTCGTGTGGGCCAGTTCTTGATAGTATCCCACCCAGACGTTCTTAGGGCTTTGTCGCGCAAAGAAGTGCGTGACAAAGCCATAAGAATATCTGAATTGGAGATTATCCATTTACAGTGCAGATAGCTCGGACAAAACTGTTGTGACAGTTCTATCTATTTTCTAACTAACATCTCCTCTAAAGAAAAACAGGAATCCCCCCCCTGCCCCTATTCAATGTTGTTTTGGTCTAAAAACCAACGTGTATAATTCTCGTGTTATCCGAAATAGGGGGATAGAAGGGACATTCATTGGGTGACGGTTTCCATTTTTGTCAGAATGACAGGAAAAATAGGTATTTTTGTGATGTCTTAACAGGTTTAGTCCGAGGTTCTTTCTGACCCCCGGGGGGTTCCCATTTAAAGATGATGGGGTTGCTCATCGGAACCTTAGGATTAAACTCCTAAAGACCAATATGGGAGTGGCTAAGGCTATATTTTACCCCTATACGAAAACCGTACCCCAACACAATATGAAAGCGTCTGTTTTTTATATGGATATTTCTTTACACACAGCCCTAAGTGATACCTTTCTGGTCATAAATATTTTTCGTCCTTAACACCTTAAGTGAGACCAAAATCTGCAACGACTGTTATTTTTGCCCCTGAGCATATGAGAGTTTCCCTCCCTCAGGATTGTCATGGTTACATCTATTTTAAAGGAGGGATGCAGAAAAATAATATAATGAATTAATTAGTTTTCCTAAAAGGTTATAATATGTTCTGTCCCCCATAGGGAATCTTTAGGGAGAAAGACAAATTTGTACTGTAGATAAGTTTATAAGATGCACTCTTGTGGTAGTTAGGAGAATTTGGATTTTGGACATGAGATGTCATTTAGTTAACGTAAAATAGCTTCGAAATATTATATTAAATGAATGTTATGAGACACCAATTTTACAGTGTGTGGCTTTTCCTGCAGATCACTGTCGTTTCCCTACTGGCACAATCAAGTCGGGCGTATGTTGGCTTAGGGGAGGGGTAGGTGGGCACTGAGTTTCCCAGAAACGTATAATGATCAGACTGTTAGCTGTTGGGACCCACTCGATGTGTCTGTCTAAAAGTAGTGTCCCCCCCCCCCTGCCCTGGAGAGTACGATTAAATGACTTAAGAAGCTAACTTTTCGGTGTCTGGACACTCTTTGAGTTTAGCCCGTAAATTAACTCTTGTGGGGAGAGGGGGGTAAGAAGCGTTTTCTTCCCACCCCCGCCCCCCACGAATACTTGCTCGCATTTGCCTGAATCAGCATTTTAAACCCGGCCAATTTTTGAATTTTTGTCGTTCATCTAGACTTGCTGAACAGTAACCCAACCCAGACCTTTAAGAAACTGTTGGCCTTTTCAATTAGGTCTCCTATTAGTACATTTGTATTCAGTGCGCTGATATAGCGAGGTTAACTTTGTACGAAAGCAATACAGTTGGGTCAGTTAAGGAGTGGTTGTCTGTATTAACCGGTGTCCATGTTGAGCAGGCTAATCTCAGAGAAAGTATAGAAGCTATTCGTCGGGACAGAATAAAAACTGTTCGTGATAACCGGGTGTTCCATCCCCCAAGGAATCACCTTAAGGAACAATCAGAATTTGCCCGGATGGGTGAGGGGGGTAGCGGGGGTCATGGAATTTTTGGAGGAGTTAACTCTAGAATGGACGAGCGAATGGGAGCTGTATCACCTGACAAACATGAAAATACGCTGGAAAATGTCAGTTCTAATCTACAATCTTGAAAGACTTAGACATGAGTCCGATATAACAACAAAAATGGGAGGAAGGCAGCCATAGATAGCTGTTTCGTTCTCGTTAGAGCACAATGACACAGCATTTGCTAGGTGATTAAAATGATGAAATTTTCTTGTCAACCACAAGCCATGGTTTTAAACTTGGTGGCATTCCGGGCCACTCTTTGGTCATGCCCTATCACGTGTCTTAGAAAGGGTATCAGTTGTAAAATATTGGTTGCGGACACTTTTTTAACTGTTTCTTATGTAGACGATACTAAAACAGAAAGCTGTAAATAAAAAATGTATACTAAGTCTTTTCTAGCCTGCGCGCAGACGAAATTAAACTCTGGTTAACCTCGTCTGCGAAACAGCGCCTATATCCTTATTCTGGACTTCCAGCTGTGTACCCAGATTTGAGTACGCGCCACGATTAGCCAGTTAAAAAAGGCCTTTGTTTTGTTTGTCGTGATCGCCAATCAGGTTGAAGGGGAATTCGAAACGCACTGCCGGTAATTCGTTGAGTCCGTTGGGGTTCCAGAACAAGGATCTCTGCGCTGCTTCGCAGACGGTACTAATCAGAGTTTAGTTATCGTCTGCACCTTAGTTAATTGAGTGGAATGGTTATGAAACCCGTCAGACTCCTTTGTTATATGTTTTTGTGGACCTGAAAGTGCACAACGTTCAAAAGAATTCCTATCATTTTGATTGTATTGACCAATAAAAACGTTGCATTAATTTATTCCGTAACAATTTGCCAACAGAAAACAAAGGATTGTGCACTTTCAGGGTGCTTCCAACATAAACTGCAGCACTGTTGTTTTTATCATTGATGTTTGCCGCTTTTCATAACCAGTCTCCTCTAATAACTATGTCTGCACGCAGGCTAGGTCTTTTCTGAGGTGCCCCAATTCTCGTTTTCAAACCGAGGCCTGGTGCCAAGACAATTTTTTATTCTCATGCAAATAAAGCTTATTTTTGCACTTAGCCTCGTCTTCATCGGAAAGCGAAAGCCCTATATATGTATTTCTCTATTATGCAGCTGGCTGCGCAACCGCAGGAATGATAGAACGAATCCCGTATTCTGATTGGCTACATGAGCGGGTTAGGTTGGCCTGTCCAGTCTCCCACTCAGTCGTTATTGTCCCGTCACGCAACGCTCCTTTCCAAGAAAGGGAGGTGTGGAAGACTTGGGCCTTTCTTTTCCGCTTTGTCCAGCAAGAAGAGATTTTGTTCTAAAGCCATATCATAATAAATCCTTTATTAACCAAGCTTATTCCTTGAAGATGGCTGAATATCTTGAGGGCAGTTTTTTGTACGGCATGCTTTTGTTAGCTCTTATTCAACTTTACAAATCAAACTCGACAAAAAAAGAGAGAGAGAAATAGCTTTTTTGAAAGAAAAGGCCTTGTTTCGCTATTTCTCGTGGTGCAGTTACGTGTTTTACTCGCAAATCGTTCGATTTTATCTATTCTCCTGATTCTCTTTTTAGTTCTTCTTTTTTCTGATATTCCGTGTTTTAGGACTTACACCGAATTTACGCTGTTCCGCCAAAGCTCTTAGTTTGAAAGCTGAGCTCCTCTGACCATCGTACACTGCCATTAAAGCCATTAATTTATTTCTTCTCTTTTCTTCTTTCATTTTTTAAAATAGTGAACTCGGAACAAGGTCGGTCAGATTTTGCAGTCGTTAGACCTAAAACAGGAGTGGAGATGGTGGTACAAGAGAGATAGGAAAAACGTCTGGAATACGAAAAAGAAGGCAAAAAGGATTACAAGTTAATCAAGGGCCGTCATTGCACGCATTGCCGACCGCTTTTTTCACCCGGGAAAT